GAAAACGCTGATGGCTTTTTGCTCTGCTACGAAGGTGCTACCTGGCCCAGCCGCCCTCTCCATCTCAGATTGGTGATCACCTGTGGGGATTGCACCTCTGCTTGGGCCAGCTCTGACCTTGGAGATAACATTCATCTGCCCAGCAATTGGTGACTCTTGGGAGCCAAGAATTAAACTGTTGAGGCTTTAGAAACTTTATGTATTGAATTATCACAAGATAAGTGACAGAAAATGAGCAAGAGTTAATTATACGACAGAGGGAGAGTGGCACTGCGTAGCAATCATTTCAAAGGCAACTAGAAATATTTATAGACTCAGGACTGCAAAACTTGCCACTGCACTCTGACACGAGATGTGCTATTGATTCACAGAGCAACACTTCAGGATGGGGCTCTGACAGTCATGTGAGCCACAGCTCTGATAAAAGGTAAGTCTCATCTCAAGCTGGGTTCAAAGGCATGTGCTAATGTGACAAAATCGGGTAAAATTTTGTAAAATCAGAATTTCAAAATATCCTGGTGGTCTTCTATTTTCAGTCCCTCTTTAGATTTCCCTCTCCGCATTGCTCGCTGATGACCAGTGTGTCTGTGAGGGCTCGCGGAGCTGCCCCCCGCCCCGCGCCGCCCCACTGCACGAAGCCACCGGCTCTGGGGGAGTGAGTGCCCGTGTCCGTCTGTCCGTCCCGAGGGAGGGCTGCACCCAGCTCTGCCGGGCCCGGCCGCCTTTGGGCAGTGTGCGCTGCCGCCTTGTAAGCCCAGATTTCAGGCATGTGCAGAGTTTGTGCAGGAGTTCACTTCGCAGGTCTTCTGGGGCTCTCTGTCACTCAGTGTCCCGCAACCTTTCTGCTCCGTTCTGCGGTCCAAGCAGGGCACAGCGAAGTGAGGAAGCCAGGGAGAGGAGACGAGCGCGGTCCTGAGAGTTTGCGTGTGCTGAGACCTAGAAAGACTTCAAAACTGATGAACATCCAAGAGCGGCCACCCTGAAGTCACCCTCATGCAGGATGCTTCTCTGCTTCCCTGTGTTGCTCCTGGGCATTATCCCATGCTTGGGAGCAGTTGGGAAGCAGAACAAATCCTCAGTGGGTATAACTCATCAACGGAGCAGCACGATTTCCCAACAGCTTCAGACTTGGCCCGTGCTATTTTTGCATTGCTAGCAGGGACTGACTAATGCTGGTGGGAGCAGAAAGAATTTGCTATTACCTGCAGACAATACAGGGAAGAAGATAATTCATTCCTAACCCAAAAGCAATCTCTGCAGGCAGGTTTTGAGACGGGTTTCCAACCATCTCCCTTTGGAGACCACCAGGCAGTCTTTAAAGAATCTTTTATATTTTTAGCAGCAACATAATAGTGGTGGAAATTTAATAACCTTCACCATCAAATATTTATCCCATTACACTGTCTTAAGTAATTTAAGCTCCTGCAATCAACATTGTGGTTTTATTTTTAATGAGCCTTGTGTAAAACAGCCTCTTCTATCATTGTCAGGTGTGTATGAAGAGAGTTGCATTTTCTCAAAGAATTTTTAATCTCCTCAAAGAAATGTTAAATAATGTATAACTCTTACCAAGATGTTACCTGTCACTGGTAGAAAATCTAGCCAGGGCTAGGCAAGCCTGATGCTTACCGGTACTTAGGACAGGGGAAGAGCGTATCTTCTTTTTTTATTATTATTATTTTTAAATTTTGTTTAATATAACTAGGCAAATAGTGCTGGGGGTGCCCTGGGCTCAGATTTTGGATGGAGTTCAGCCTTTGCTGAATGCAATGTTCCCAGCTCGTCCCAGCGGCAGCCGGGCAGGGTGGCAATGCCAGGACAGGCGGCTTGGGGCAGAGAAAGGGCAGGGGTGGGCAGGAGGGATAGAGAGCAGCAGCAGTTTGTTACGGAGATCCAGGCCAGCAGGGAAGAGCAGATTATCAGAGCTGCTAAACACAACTGCTCTGGCTCCTCGGCGTTCCCCAGCAAAGAAACCTGGCAAAAACTGGGCATGTGGGCCCCTCGCCGCAGGGCAAAAGGGGCTGACAGGGAGGTGGGTGTCCCCCACCATAACTGTGCAGGGCTGGGGTCTCCACGGGCCACGGCAGCCTCGCAGACCCCCGCAGGCGCTGCCCCTCAGCCCACGCATGTTTCGGGGCTCAGCATCGCCGGTCTCACACTGACCCCCAGTGTCTGGCGGCTGGGTAAGCCGAGCTGCCGCCCCAGCACTGCGCCCGGCCTGGCTGCTGTGAGGAGCTGGATGGGGAGCAAAGTCAAAGCGAGTATTAAATTTGATGTAAATTAAACCATAATCCCTGTAGCAAAATGATCTGAAAAGGAAGAAAGCGGTGGGAAGAGAATGCTTGTTTGCATGACTGCAGTTAAAGCAACTGTTAAATTAAGTCAGGAAAAGATTTCTGTAAGATGTTGCTTTTTAATGGCAAAGCTAAGTTGCCGCAGTCCGTGTAATCAGATCCCTGGAGCAAAGGTAACGATTTGGTCTCAGTGGGATGTTTTGTGCTGGGAGAGATTTACTTGCATTTCGTGAAATGCTTTAAAAGTCAACACTGCTCAAAGCAATTAAGGTCTTTGGAAGGGTAGGAAACCTTGGGCAAATCAGGTGCCCTGAATTCATTGGTTAGTGTTTGCAGAGTGCTTTGGAAAGGATTTGCCATGGAAGCGCTGGAGATTGTTACGAAAACTGGGTCTGTGCATCAGTAGCGGGAGGATGCGATCGCAGCAGCAGGGCCTGGGCAGGGGCCCGGCAGCTCCAGCTGCACCTGTCACAGGGGGGCCGGTGCCGCACAGCCCCCCAGGTATTACAGTTATCCAGCCTGACATGGGCTCTCTGCACTCTCTGTTTCTCAGATGTCCCTTAAGGTTTTTCATTAACGAACTTCATGGTTTTTCTCTTTGCTGCTCTTTCTTGCAAAGCCTACGTACTCCGCTCAGTTGTGTTAATTAATTTCTTCAGATACTGGCTTTTCACATTTGGTTCTTGATAAGATACTAGCAAGAAATCCAAAATAAGACTCAAAATAGATCTCTCACATGGCAAGCATAAAGTTTCATTATGTATCATTAATTCCCTGTTATTTCTAGATCAGGGCTCTCTAGTTCCTGGCATGAATATTCCTCAGTAATGAAAATTAAGGTCTTGATTCAATTTGAGTGGTGCAAAGGTGTTCAAGACAACTGCATCAGAGGGCTGCAGACCCCCCGAATGTTTCAGTTCTAGCTGGGATATCAACTCATCAGAAATTCGCGCAGCAGACAGTGCCTCTGGGAGCCCAAAATCAGCGATTCGGTATTGACTGTCATTACCTGAGTTGGCAAGACAGCATTGTTTGACAGGAGAGAACAACAGCTAAAAAGTTGCATCTTCAAATCTTGAGTGAAAGACTAACTCGTACTGCTGGCGCTTGCTCTGCCGAAGTGGCGGGGAGGAAGGATGCTGCAGCATGGTCTAGGCAGGGAGCCAGGCTCCCGGTGCTGGTTATTAAGCAGTGGGTCCTGCTCCTGCTTTCTCCCCAGGTGCTGCTAACAAAGAACAACTCAGCCACCTCAACTAAAAATAACTTTCCCATAGCAGGAAAAGACCAGCCAGTGCTCCTGCTGCATGACTGTTCAGTTTGACAGACCTCGCATTCAACAGTTAACAGCCAGTATGTTTACAGGCAACACTTTTTTTGGCTGCTGTCCCTAGAATGTCACTAATGTTTAGCCAAACGAACTGGGAGGATTATAACAGGCAGGGACACTGGTGCAAGTGACAGGCACAGAGACAAGTGCTGCAAGAAGCTAATTTACACATCGAGTTTCACAGCCTGAACCTCCCTTCCTGCTCAATAAGCTCATCAGCTGCTGCTTTATACCCACCAGCCAGCTTTCATAAAAATGAGGAAGCTCACAAAATCTTTTTTTATTTTTTGCCTGCCTGCTTAGACAACAGATTCTAATAAAAAACACTTTTTAATATTGTTGAAAATAAGCCCTCTTTTATGTGGAAATGCGAATTTAATGTAAATAGTTTGTGCTGCTCTGATTCTCTTTAAGGGCTGCTTGGCTCTTGGCAGTCCCTGTGTAGCCTTTCAAGTCACTCAGGAGACACTGCCTGCTGCTGAGCTGTGGACTGATCTCGGAAGGGATCTGCATTCTCGCCTGCCTCTCCCAGAGTGCTCCCTGCACTGCTTGACAGCTGGTTTCGCAGAGAGGGATCAGCCGTATTTCAGAAAATGCAACATCTGCAGCTGTGAAATTGCGCCCACCTTCCCACAAAATAACGTGGTGATAGGGGAAAATGTGACCGTAATACAAGAGCTCTGCAAGGGAGCCCTGGCTTCATCTGCATCAGGTGCTTTGTCCCTCGAAAGTGTCCAAGGCCACCCTGCACAGTCTCAGGCGCTCGTGGTCGTGCATCTCCACCCCCATGTGCTGCCATAGACCGTGAGCCCACGTCTACACACAAGGCTGCTTAGGGCTGCGCCACCCCTGCCCTCATCTCTCGAATATGCACATCGGTTTTATAAAGCAGCATAAAGAATGGGAAACATACCATATTGTGAATAGTATTTATTACAATTTTAAAAATTAAATTTTTCTTACTATTTTTGTTTGTTGGGGAAATTAAAACAAGCGAGTTTTCCAGCTGCAAAAATGCTGTTCTTCAGCCAGTTCTAGTCATCTTCTGTTTACGAGACAGTATAGGTTTTCACTGCCTAATAAAAACAATCATCTGTATTCTGTGGCTGCAAGCAACAACACTGTGAGAGAGTGGAGCAAGTCGAGAAGCTTTTGGAGGAGAATATGAATTATCTCAGCCAGAGAACAAAGCACAGAAGGACCCCTGAGCACTGAGAGAAATTGCAGAACAACGTGTCAGGCATGTCTCCGAACCTCCGCAGTTTAACTGGGAGACTTTATGCTTTTGAGAAAAAAGTCTTACTTGAATATTCCCATAGGTACATTCTTGCCACTTATTTCTGCGATTTAAATTGTCGCTCACGTTTTTTAAGGCCAGGATGATCGAACAAGCATTTTATCAGCTAAGTTGGATTGAGGAGCACAGGTGATATCCTCAAACCACTAAGACTTGTGGTATGGCTCTGCAATGAGCAAGAACATTAAAGGCTGCTATAAAGAAACAAGCTCCTGTGCCCTCAGCCGGACAGAATTGTAAAAATCCCCACAGTGTTCTCAAAGCACTGAATTAACAGAAGAAAGAGCTATAGTTTAATGTGATGGATAGAGCCCCTGGGCTCCATTGAGGCGGACATTGCCGTCCCTCCTCCAGCACAGACCGTCAGGGCACGCAATACCTACCATCTCTCAAAACAGGCAAGTGTGCTGCCTTGCCTCCCCCAGTGAAGTAAGTGAAAATAATTACATACTTAAATCTAGGTGTTGGGCTGCTTTGCTACACAGAAATTCATCTGCTATCGTCAGAGTCCTTGAAGTTAAAGAGGGATTTGAGTTACTGGCATAATTTGTTCCCTGAGGGCTGTGGAAACGAACTGAGAGGCATATCTGAATAGTAACTCCCCAACCGCACATCTTATAACAGGAGCAAGCATTGCTCCAGAAGGAAGACGCCATGGGAAGCAGAAGATCTGAAACGTTTATAACCTATACAGCGATCAGGCAGCATTTGTTTGTTTTTATTCCCCAGGCAGCAGCCCATCAGGGATATCTGGAGGCAAGCTCCTCTGTTTTCACTTTGTTGAAGCTTATTTTAACGGAACGCTGCCTGTGGGCCAAGTCTAGGTCCGTGTGATGGGCCCGGGCCGGCCGCCCTGCTTGTCGCAGGCTGAGGCGGGCTCCCCGCCCAGACCCCGTCTCTCCCCACCAGCGAGCGCGGCCGAGCCGTCCCTCCGCCCGCCGTTCCGTCCCGAGGAGGCTACCCGCCCGCCCGGCCCCGGGGCGGCGAGGCGCGGCTGCCCCTGAGGCGAGCGGCTCCACAAGATGGCGAGCGCGGGCTGCCGCGCTCTCACCAAGATGGCGGCGGGCGGGCGCAGCGCGGGGCCGGGGCGGCAGAGGAGACCCGCGGCCCGGCGCTCCCGGGGCGGCGGCGGGGGTTTGCCGGGCGCGGCGAGAAGGGGTCCCCGGAGGGTCCCCAGGAGCGGGGCAGCCCCCGGCCGCCGAGCCTGGTAGGAGGGCGGGGGCCGGGGCTGCAGCTCGGCATTCCCAGTGGCAAGTTGAGCATCGCCATGAGGGAATTACTGGGAGAACTAAAGTAAACTCTTCGCCTTCCAGCCACTGTGTAAGGCACCTGTGCGTAGCAGCACGGTGCAGAGGCGTGTTTGTGAGCTTTCAGATTCGTTACTGTTTAAAATCCAGTGGTAGGCTATTAGCAGGTGTGTTGTGCTGTAAGCAAGCAGCGGGATGCTGTGCTGCGTGGTAGCATGTTCTGCTACGTCAATTGCCATCTACAGCATCCCTCAGAAAATATGAAAATGGTGATTAGCTGTGTACAGTGCTAGTTTATGCTTTGAGAAGTAGCTTTCCACTGGTGATGGACTGTACGTTGTGGTTTAGTGTACGCTATCTGCTCCTCTTTTCATATGCACTTTCTACTAATCATTTCTTTTAGCAATGCAGCTTTGTATCGAAGTTCCATATCCAGCCTTGCAACTAAAAAGATACAATGATTTTACTTTATTTCAAGTCAGCTTTAAGATTTTTTTTTCTTTTTCCTAACAGTGTTCTTCACACAAAGTAGCCGACAGACGACCCTCAAAAAGGCTAAAATGTGAAAAAAACAGTTTAGTAAAATCAGGACTAGAAGGACTTATATGTGGAAGTGAAAACCTTGCTGCATTGAGAGAAACACCTAAAACATCTGATAAAGATGGATGTTCAGAAGGTCCACGAGACTACAATGTAATTGAGGAGAAAAAAAGGTGAAAGCATTGCAGAGACTAATGAAGAGAAACAGGAAAAGGAACATAATATTTCTCTCAAGCCACATGCAGTGAAATCAGGCAGTGCTCCATCAGAAATGGACAGTGATGAAAATCTGCACAATCACGTCAGCAGCGAAGAGGAGAACAGCTGTGAGAGTGTCTAGCTCCGAGGATGCAGATCTGAAGCAGGTACAACTAGACGGTAGCGCTTTCTTGGATGAAGAAAGTGACCAGCCAATGCCAGTAGACTGGTTCTTTGGAGATGTCAAGTTTATCCAGGTAAGATGATGACAGTCTGTTTACAGATTCAGTTCTTTTCCACTTCAGTCTTGCATCTTCAGACAAAAGTAGGCTAGCCTCAAAATTGTACGCAAACTTGACCAGTATTGGTAGACATCTGGAGTCATATCCCCATGCCCTAGACATAATTACTTGTCTCAGAGATTAAATGAATTGCCAAGGCAAATTAATTTGAGATATAAAAACTTTCTTGCTTAATTTTATTATTCCAATTCCATAAGATATGTGTTTTTACTCAGTGTTACTCTGTCAAAATAGTTTTTCACTGGACATTGGTTCTTAATCGTGATTATTGCAATTCTCTGGAATGTAAACTGGTTTCTGGCCATCTCTGCTTTTGGACTAGTCAGGGGCTAGAGCTTTACATTCAAATCTTAGGTCTACCTTTAACATTGCATAACTGGGCAGGTGATGCCACTGCCTTTTGTGTGTTTTGTGAGGATTGATATTTAATGGGAGTTGTGAGGATTCACTTGTGGAACACATCACCCTCTCTGAACCTTCTCAAGCCTGCAGAAGGAATGCCAGCCCCTGCTTTGGCCATGAGCAGTGACCGCCTCAGGCAGGCTCCTCTGCTTTTGCTATGGCTTTTTGCCACCGCTTCCTAGCGATGAGGTGTGTGTAGGTGCCTGATGTATCAGATGTGGAAGTACGTGAACTGTTAGAGAGGCAGGAGGTCTTCCATTTCCTGCAACAGGCTGTCCTTAACAATTTTATATTTTTCTTAAAGGATCTCCCAGCAGTTGCACTCCCAAGCACAGTGATGAGCAGGCGAGAATTCAGAAAGCTATATTTCATTGCAAAGGAAGGTGAGGAGGAGGAGGAAGAGGATGTTGACTAACAACAAACTGTAAACAGATTAAACCTTTTTTCTTTTTCTTTGCAACCACGTAATGATGGTTGGCTATGGCACTAACATAAGGTGTTTGCGTTTGCCTTTTCTCAGAGAACTGGCAGAGTTTGTTTTTCTAGAATTGGCAGATACTATATTCTCCCACAGTCACCTGGGGCAAAGATTGACTGAATTTTCAGTGATTTGGAAATAAACGGTGGTTTATCATTTTACCACTAATATTTAGGAAAAAAAAAAAACCAGTGAAAATCTAAGTTCTTATTGCTTTTTTAAAATTTGAGCTTGTATTTAGGGCAAACATTTGGTCTCCTTTTTTTTAAAAAAATAGTCAAGAAAACCAAGTTAGAATAAAGTCCTTTTCCTTTTAATTCTGCGATGTCAGCCATTGTGGCATCCAGTTAGTAATGCAGCCAGTTGACTAGCCAGTTCAAATAGGGACATTGGCCTATGTTGTGTAAGTTGTGTTGCATTGTTTCCATCTAAACCAGAACCAATTAAACCTCTAAAATGCAGTTCTGCTGGCAAAACTAAATGCAGGGATGTCAATGTGGGTTCAGTGGTATCTCTGGATGTTAAATACATTTGTACTGCATGTCAGTTCTCTGAACCACTAACATGAAGCTGACTGCTTCCCTCCTCTACCAGGCCAGCTGTGAGCATTGCCTTTTGTAGGAGTTGTGTAATGCAGTTCATGCAGTATTTTCAATTAACTTCCAAGGGTTATGAATAGGAATTTCGTAAGCAAATATACAGGTGGTGATAAAGGAGGAATAAAGTCTCTCAGTATGGGACTTCATAGATGAACAAGTACTGATTGCTAAAGATGTGGGTCAGTCTACCAAATCGTTATTTTGGCCTGCATTTTTAGAAGATAATGAGCAACCTCTGATGGTTTCAGGAACTGTTAACTCACCCAATGTTTATGATAATACTTCTTTGAAAGTGTGATTATGCAATAAGCTCCCATATCTTTATTGTTATAGTTTCTTCTACATTTCTAAAAATACAGAGAAAATGTTATCAGCAGATGGTTTAAATAAATACTAATTTCTACAGCTATAGCCTGTTAAACATTCAAAAGTTGTAAGCCAAACAAATTGCATATGCATGACATGTTAATTTATTCACATTTCCACTCCAGCTGATGCATTGTTTCTGTCAACAATATTTCTTGGCTCCTTTTCACTCTAATTCTGTAACACAGAAAAATCTAATTTTTTAATAGCATATTCATGGTTTTCAGCACAACTCCATCTTGAAGTAGCTTTCCCAGCTTTCCTTAAATGCTGCATTTGCTACCCTCTTTCTAGCAAATGTCTTTATACACTGACATTCCTTTTAATTTCAGCATGGTGTAAAATGATGATTTTCAGTTTGTAGAAGTGTGCCATACAGATGACATTGTGCTTGTCATCAGAATCTTAGCTGTGATGCTTTCCCCAATGTCAAAACCGTGTACTGTGCGTTTCCATTTTCATTACCAATGGCGTATGCTCAGTAAGGTAATCTGGAAGGATCGATTCAATGACTTGGTATTAGAAATCCTGTATTTAAACATTTCAATATGAGAAGTAGGTGCATTTTAAGAGGGAGATTGAGTTTGTTGTTTGAAGTAAATCAATACTCTGTAGCAAAGCTCCCCCATTTCCAAGACCTAGTAAGTTATGGCTCACAACAATGCTGTCTTAATACAGTTCTGTGTGGACTAGCTGGATTTGCCCAGGTAAGAAAGAGGACCAGCGACACGGGGGACAACAGAGCTCTTCCCTAGAGATGAGTGAAGTTATTTACATAGCAGTAACTAACTAATGCTCCATTCATAAACATGTTTCCCTGCACTCACGCTTTCTAGTCTGTATTGGCCATGTTGTATTACGCCTGATTAACCACTTGTGCACCTCTGCTTCCACATACACACACAGAAAAATGGCGGTAATTTTTTTATTAAAAAAAGAAAAAAAAAAATCACGTTTCCACTGACAATCCCTAAAAGTTCAGTTGCTATCAGCTGATATTTAAAAAAAAAAATTCAAGTAAAAATTGATCTATTTGTATTTTGTTACCTGAGGTAGGAAGTGTTTTGCAAAAGCAATATTCTCTAAAGCAGCCGGTAAACATGATTATTATACAGTAACATTGCTTGTACTGCTTCAAGCAAACATGAAGGTAAAGAGGCAGAAGCTGTTTGAAAGGAGAGGAAAATCAATGGGAAAGATGACAAAGAACAAAGGTGGTAAAAGCAAAGCTATGCCATGGCCTTGCTCTTCCTTCTGGGAGATGCGTGTCTAAAGCAGCAGCAAATGGAGTTGCCATGGATGAGTGCAGGTATTTTGGTACAGAAGAGCCAGAAGCTGTGTCACTGAATCGCCCTTTGGCATACCTGAAATACAGCTGTTGGCTACCTGGAAAAGGCACAGAGCTAAATAATTATCCTAAAGTATTCTTTGTTTGGATTAACATTCAGAGAAATGGTTCTACAAGTCCCCTCAGATGAGTTTAAGAAATGTTTTGTCCAAGTTTCATTTTTGTGTGCTGTGAGTTTTGGGCTTACATTTGTCACAGAAAGAAAGAGATCGTTGGGCATAATCGGTGTCAGCCTCTGACCTCATTTTTTATCTCTGACTCACAGCTCTATTTTATCACGCTTAACACAGTGTGGTCAAAGGAAGGCTTATAGTCAGTGAGAAGGCGGGAAAGCAGAATTAGGCATGAATGTATGTGTTGTGAGATTGTAGTTGAATTACTTAGCAAGTCTCTTTTGCCAGGGACTCCTAAATAAGCTTTTTTTTTAAAGAAACCAGAGCTATTTAAAAATGATATCACGTGACATGATTTTGAAGAAGTCAATTCCAGAGATAGTACTATGAAATCTTGTGGTTTTGCTTCTTTTTTCTGTAAATTTTAGTTTTGTCACAGCTGAGATTATGATTGGTTTTCTTATGGCAAGCAATATGTACAAGTTTTAAATTATCCACAGTAAACAGCAGCTGATAGAAGTATTCCCAGTTCACTTCTCTTCCACCTCGTGTTTTGACTGCTTCTGCCAGTTCTGGGACAACAGCACGTTTCTTCTCTATTCTTCAGTACACAAAAGAGAAAACAATATTGCCATCAAAAGTTTTTCATAATAATCAAGTCTCCATCTTCCTTTTAGAACCAGGCAGAATTTGAATTCTTTCACCGTAACTAGGTTTCTGATTTTTTTTTTTTTTCCTGAGGAAATTAGTTTAGCAAATCCTGTTTGCTTCACAAGTGCACAATGCCTGAAAATGGGTCTATGGGTTTTTGCCAGAGAGGAGTCTTCACAAAGGATAATGTGGTGAGGAGGGGTGTGTTTCTGTACAAAGCAGAACTGAACGGAAGCAAAGCAGCTAATGAGAGACAGCATTATTATCTGTCTTCAGGAGTGTATGTTATCAGAAACAGCTGCAGCATCCAGGCATCTTTTATCACAATGCACTCTTCGTAGCAGAGTTAACTGCACAGTGAGGGTGGTAAAGATGCAATGGCTCTACCCTTCCTGCCTAAGATGAAGAGCACGAAACAGGTAAGTCTGGATTAATACTTTGTACATACACGTGATCGAGATTCCAGGTACTGAAGAGGATTCTGCTTTCCCTGTTACTGTAGGGGTTGATCGAATGCTTACATGGGCAGTCATCTCTGTCAAAAGGTCCCTGTGGAACAAAACAGCTACGATGACAGGCGTACTGCTCGTCACCCCAGCACTGTCCTTCCGCTCGCTTTAACTAACCAAGAACAGATCATGCATGCTATGACAACGTCACCCCGCCAAACCTGGCACTGCACTATGCAACCTTCCAAGTAACTGTTTTCCTCCTCTAATGTCATTGCGAGTCATGCTACAGCCTGTTGGAACCAAGACTCTCTGCTTTAGAAAGCGCTGAACTTACCTGACAAGAGAACCATCCCTCTGTAGTGCACAGGCGGACTGCCTCCTCCTCTCTTCTGTCAAAGTAGCATCCGTTATATTTCACAGATTTCAGTTTATCTGACATCAGGTCAATTATCCTTTTATATGCATCTTTTGCTGTAGGATGAACATTTGAAATAGAACTGCTAACCTAGAGGGGGGGGAAAAAAACCAACAATCATTCCTTGGTGTCTGCAGCAGCCTGAGGCTCTTCTCTACAATCAGTATGTTGCACTGTCAGTGTTTTATAGGTACATGGTCACAGAATTACTTTTACTAGCAGCTTGAAAGTTACTTCAACAGAAACTTTTACCTCTTTCATGTAGCTTCGTATTCTGCTTTCACAACTGTATCGCATGTAGCTTGATTTGTTCTTGAAGCGAGACTCTAGACCTAGAGGGAGTTAGATTGTGTTGTAACTTAGTACTTTTAGTGCTGCACTTCTGCCTAGCTGGATATTTATCCCTTCTTTTCACAAACTCAGTATGCACAATCTTTTTTCTTTCCCATTTTTATTTTACTGGTTCAAGACTACCCTGCTGTTAGCCCTTAAAAGGGCCATGCAGAGCATCTGTTGTGAGAGCAGTAGCTGATATAGTTGTTAAATGTTTCTCATAAATGTGCATACACAGAATACTAAGAGACTGTCAAAAGAAAACCAAGGTGTTCAGGAAGAACTGCAGTAATGACTTGGGAAGGGGAGAGGGATTTTGCAAAGAAAGTATAAAGAAATCATAAAGCTTAGTTGGCTGATACATTCAAGTTACCAATATACTATTAGAAAATTGTTAAAAGGTTGTAAACACAGACCACCGTTAATATGGAAAAAATGTATTCCATAGCGATCTTGGATAGAGCAATAGGGAACATTAGGGGTTTTACCATTTTCTGATAGTAAATATGCATATATTTTTAAAGAAACTAAAAATCACATGCTCATGTAAGCAGTAACTAATCCCCTGGCCAGATACCAAATCACTGCATCCAGAAGGGCTCCCAAATTTTTAATCGGCTTTTTCCTTCAAGCACAGTAAAACTGACAGAAGCGGCTCTGGGGAGCCAAGCGCGACCCGGCAGCTCCCTGCGGGCGCCACACGCACCTTCGAACCACTTCTCGTCCTCCTCCCTGTGCTCGGCCAGGATGTTCTCGCTCAGGTTGTGCAGGAGATCCGCCAGCAGCTTCTGCCTCCGGGGGGCCCGCTCGTCCGACAGCAGCTTCCGCGCCGCCGCCACGACCGCGTCCCTCTGCGCGGAGAGGGCGGCCAGGAACCGCTCGAGATCGCTGACACCTGCGGCGGGCGACGCGGCGCCGGCTGAGGGGCGGCGGCCGGGCGCTGCCCCGCTGCCGGTTGTTCCCCCCCAACACACAAACGCAGACACCCCCCGCCCCCCCCAGCGCACTCACAGCCCCCCCAGCTCTCTCCGGGGCCCAGCAGCACCAGCTCCGTCTGCGGCGGCAAGGCGCGGAAGTAGCTCTCGGTCAGCTCCGTCCCGTCCTCGTAGAGGCAGAGGCGGCTGCCTGGCAAGGGAAGCTGCACCCCGGGCGGGTGAGAGGCGGGCGGGCCCGCGCCCGCAACCCCGCGCCTCGGTCCCCGGCCCGCACCTGCAGCAGCCGGCAGCCCTTCCGCAGCAACCCGCGCAAGCTCCCGGCCGCCACGCCGAACTTCTGCGGGCTTCCGCACCCGCGCAGGCGGAACGCCCGCAGCGGCTCCGACATGGCGGCGCCCGTTGTCCTCCCGCCGCTGCAGAGGCGCGCATGCGCCCCGAGGCGCTGCTGGGGCGGGCGCGCATGAGCGGCGGTGGGCGCGGCGTTGCCAGGAGACCCAGCGGTGGGGCCGCGGTGAGGCAAGTGGGGCCTGCTCCGGCCCGGCCGCTTTCCCAACCCCTTCCTTTTCCACTTCCCCTCCTTTCCGCTCCCCCCCAGCCGGGCGAGCCTCCCCCGCCGCATAGGGCGGCTTTGTCCGCGGCCCGGCCGTTCCCCTGAGCCAGCGCCGTGACCGCCTCGGCCGGCTGCCGTCTCCTGTGGAGAAGCGGCCGGGCCCGGTGGGGAGGCGGGAAGGAACCGAAATTAATGCCATAATATCACTACGGCACCGGGGCGTGGGGGCTCTTTGGCGCTTGGCCTGCCCGTCGTTGCCTCCCTGCCTCTGCCATCCCTGTCAGCAGCCAAGGTGTGTGCTTAGCTATGAAAATTATGAAGATTTAGCTGTGCTAAATTGATCCTGTTCGTTATTGTTTGGTTTTTGACTCTGGCTCAAGTACGCAGCAGATGATATGGATAGCTCCTGTGTGTGTTTTGGAACTGAAATGGTTTCTAACTCTGTCTTGGATTACCAGATTTGATTGAATTTATTGGCAAACAAGTTAGCTAAACCCTCATTTCACTAAGTACTAACTAAATGCTCAGCACAAGAACATGGTGCGGTTTATAGTGCCAATATTAATTAAAGAAAGTTTAGATTTGTAGTCATCATCTGTTGACTTGATGGACCACAGAATTTAGTCCGTTGACTGTAGCATTTCAGTGTTCTTTAATTGTCCTTCCAGGGATTAGCATAAGCTTAAAACACCATTGCTTTGGCTCACTCGCTTCTGCAGGATGCCACACAAGATCGGTTTTATAGTTATCAGTTCATCGGGACACGAAGATGGGTTCAGCGCAAAAGAGCTGATGGTTCACGCACCGACAGTGAATGGATGGCGATCACCCAGGTACTGCACTGAGTGAGTTTAAAACGAATGGGAGATGTACCGTGCATGGTCAGAGTAGTTTACAGCATCCCAAACCAAATGGTATCAAACCAAAAATGTTACTTTAATCCCATGGAATCCTTATCCTGGGGAAAAAAGTGCCTTGGTTACCCCCTAGAGGCATCACATTGCATTTAAATAAAGTCATTTGAAAGAAAAAAAGGGAACTATTCTTGTTCTTGTCAGTGTTGGAGTTTGCAGCTGCTTTGGCTTAGTATTAAAAATCCAGTCTTCTCAGCACACCCTCTAGATATGTGTGGGGCATTTTAACATACACATGCATGTGATAAAGTGAAGAGAAAAGTGTTTCTACTCTACTCCTTTGGCTTCTTTTTACGATATTTGTAACGCTGACTTAAGCTTTAATAACTTTGGAAAGTTTCATAATTAAATGTTGCTCAAGTTGGAAGTGAAGGCATCTTTAAAAAGATGATTCAGAAATTGTGTATGTTTTCAGACTCTGTCAGTATCCACAGGAAATTGTTCTGCAGCTGGTGGAGAGATGTCGAATACGAAAACTGCAGTTGCTTGCTCACCAGTACATGATTTCAAGCAAAATTGAGTTCTACATCAGTGAGAGCTTACCTGAATACTTTGCTCCTTATCAGTCAGAAAGGTTTCACAGACTAGGGTAAGTCAAAAAGCTCTAAATCGTTTTGTTACCTTAATCAGAAAGGCGTCAGTAGGAAATAATATTCATTATGCTTTGCACGCAACATTGATATGCTGTGCTGCAAGCAGTAAAGAGATTTCATACTTGCTTATATCTGTAACAAAACTGAAGACAGGGGTGTAAGAGGCATGATGCAGATGAACAGTCTTGTCAGATGACAGCACACATTGTTTCAGTTATGGGGGAGTTTTAAACCTTGTCAAAGTACTGACCCGAGGAGGAAAACTACAGCTGTACGTTTTCCCTGCTTACTTTTTACATTTTCCTTCTCAGATATGTCCCTCTCTCAGACAATGAAAAGACTGATTTCAAAGCACGAGAGTTAAAATCTGTGTATATGGATGCAGTTGGCCAGTACCTGAAGCTGATTTTCCATAAAAATTATGTCAACAGATACAATTTATATGGTCAGGTAAGTTCAGTTAAGAGTTCTTACTTGGTATAGATATATGAATAGGCATAGAAATCTGCTCCCTGGATTTGTAGAAACTAAAAATGTTGGTTGAAAGCTCCTGAGTTTATTTTTGGCTTCTTTTAAAACAGAAAATACAGATAAGAGATTATGAGTGACTTGGAATCATGACCAAGTACATGCGACTTATCCAGAACAAACGAGTTGAGTGCATGTTCTATTACTGCCTTTCATGCCGAGTTTTAGACTGCACAGCAAGCTCACTGCTGAAGACAAAACACTTCCTCTGAGAACAGCTTTGTAGTTGCTACAAAGCTACTCTTAGTCTCTAGGAACTGATGTGGCATTAAGCAGAGGTGTTGCACAGCCGTCCAGGTACAGAAAAAACAAATGTCCGCCTTAATTCTGCAGTGACTCTTTTCATTTCCATCCCAGACCAGAAAAGGGAACAACTAATGACTACAATGTGGTCTTTAGGTTTGGTAATAAATTTTTAATGAAGCTTGAAGTATATTTAGCACTTAGTGCTTTTCTTTGCTTCCATACCACACTGGAGACCACAGGTCCTATTTTATTTTGTCCCAATTTTTTTGTATCAGTTTTCGTAAGATATGGATAAAGTAATGACCTTATGCATTTACATTTTCTTTAAATTTGTCCCAGGTTGCCCTAGTAGCTATAAACATTATTGGAGATCCAGCAGACCACAGTAATGACAGCAATAATACTGTAAGTGCAAAGCATCCCTGTCTTTTTACTGTTGCTTCATGTTCAGTTACAGGGTTCTTGTGGTAATGGAATGTATCTTTCTTCTGCCTGTTTTGTGCTGCAGCAGAGCTGTCATGTATTGATTTTGAAAATTTTTTTAATGTTATCTTGAATCAAGAAAGTTCTCAAAAATTGAGCCTAATGTGCAGATACGAAAAATAAAACATAATCTATTGGAACACTTGCATTTTCAGCCTCTCCAAATTCTCTTGTTTCAATATGCCCCAAAACCTAAGTATTATAAGTTGAATAGCTTATGTTGATTGTGGCAAGTCAGTATTTCTCTCCTGAATGCACACTTGATGTTGATGAATATGCATTAAGATTTTTTTTTTTTCCTCCCTTTACAAAGCCTTCCAGAGAGAAGCTGATAGACCACTACTTAGGAATTAAATCAGATGATCCTGCCTTAGATGGAACTTACCTTGGGTAAGGACATTCTTGTGCAGGTACCCTGGGAAAATGTCTACTCAGTCTAAAGTAGTTCTCAGTCTCTACATTTGGTAGTTCCCTGCTAGTGAACAGAGAAGACACGCTCAGCCTGGTTTATTTTTGGAATAACTGAAAGTTTATTTTGTTGATTCTATATTTTCAGGAAACCTGACTCCATTTCACCTCTGGATGATTTGGCTTTTGACATGTACCAGGATCCAGAAGTTGCTCAGATAATACGTAGACTAGATGAGAAGAAGCGTGAAGCTGTCCATCATGAACGCTACGATTATGCCAAGAAACTCAAACAAGCTATTGCAGACTTGCAAAAGGTATTGTTGAAAGACTGTTTATCTCTTAAGCTGAACAGTGTTCCAGTGGTTCATCAGGGACCCTAGTGTTCATGTGGAATGGTAATGATTTCCAGTATTCCAAAACAGTAATTTTAAAATCAGGTAGCTTAATTTAATAACTTTACTGGAATGTATACATATATACAGTAATGTGGTTCCAAGGTAGCTTGTTATACCATCTTCTAGGTTGGGGAACGACTTGGACGGTATGAGGTAGAGAAGCGCTATGCTGTGGAGAAAGAGGATTATGATCTTGCTAAAATGAAAAAACGGCAAATGGAAATGTACCGTCTGAAGGTGTATCAGCAACTAGAGCTCCACGACCTTCTGGATTCAGAGCTGATGGTGGGTACTGTTATTCCTAATTCAGGACAATTTATCATGTGGGTGTTGTAAACAGAAATGGCAGAGCAACCAGAATTAATTCAGGGAATAAGAGTTGTTACACAGGTATTTAATCATAGAATCAAACCAAAGAACAGTTTGGGTTGGAAGGAACCTTACAGCCCCTCCAGTGCCACCTCCTGCCCCAGGCAGGGCGCCCTTCCCCCAGCCCAGGGTGCTCCCAGCCCATCCAACCTGGCCTTGAACCCTTCCAGGGAGGGGGCAGCCACAGCTGCTCTGGGCACCCTGGGCCAGCGCCTCACCCCCCCCACAGGGGAGAATTTCTGCCTTAGATCCAATCTGAACTTGCTGTCTTTCAGTTTGAAACCATCTCCCCTCATCCTATGCCCAACCCTCAATCAAGAGTCCCTCCCCACCTTTCCTGTCCCCCCTTTAAGCCCTGGGAGGCTGCTCGAAGGTCTCCCCGGAGCCTTCTCTTCTCCAGGCTGAACCCCCCCAACTCTCTCAGCCTGGCCTCCCAGGGGAGCTGCTCCAACCCCCCAAGCATCTTCGTGGCCTCCTCTGGCCCCACTTGAGCAGCTCCGTGTCCTGCTGTTGGGGGCCCCTGAGCTGGACCCAGCACTGCAGGGGGGTCTCCCCAGAGTGGAGCAGAGGGGGAGAATCCCCTCCCTGGCCCTGCTGCCCCCCCTGCTCTGGCTGCAGCCCAGGGCATGGGTGGGTTCTGGGCTGCGAGCGCACGGGTCTGCCTCACGGGCAGTTTTCCCCCCACCAACCCCCCCAGTCCCTCTCCTTGGGGCTGCTCTCCAGCCACTCCTCACCCAGGCTGGGTTTGTGCTGGGAATTGCCCTGATCCACGGGCAGGACCTTGCATTTGGCCTTGAACTCCAGGAATTTTGCCTGGGCCTCCCTCTCCAGCCTGCCTAGGTCCCTCTGGATGCCATCCCTGCCCTCAGCGTGTCACCACACCGCACACCTCGGTGTCATTGGTGACTTGCTGAGGGTGCATCGATCCCACTGTCCATGTCACCAAAGGTGTTAGTCAGCGCCGGGCCCAGCCCTGACTCTTGAGAACGCCACTCATCACTGCTCTCCCCTTGGACGTTGAGCCATTGCCTGCAACAATTTAAGTACAAACATCCAGCCAATTCCTTATCCATTGAGTGGTCCATCCATCAAACGCGTGTCTCTCCAATTTTTATGACAATTACATATGGATTTAGAGTTTTCTGTTTGGATAGTGGATTTCCCTAAACAAATGCTTGCATGTAGTGGTTTATGAACATGCTTAGTTCTTCATAAATTACACTGCATTAAACTCTTAAGGTCTCAAGCAAATGACAGTAGAATCCTGAAAGTTTTGTGTAATTTCAGAGCTACCCAATGCAGATTAATAAGGTATTCTTTCATATTTTGGAGGGATGAAAAAAGGATTATGCTGGCAATACAGAATTAATGCGATAAGATATATATCGTTGTATATTGATCTCGGAACGGGAAGCTTTATAATCTCTCCACACACACTCACACAAAGAATTACTCTCTGATTGTTTCGTAAAGCTGTGTCCAGTGGAAATGATTACACGTCTGTGAGTGAGGTCGGATATTTACTTGAAAGCAGCAGAATCGTGTTGACCATCAGTTGTAGCTGTGCTAACTCTGGTTTTGGTACATCGATAGCCTTGCTTTATAAAATGCCCTTCCCTTTCTCAGATTCGAAAACCACCTGAATTGTCTTCAGAGCCTATGATTTATACTGACAATCCTCAGCACACGAAAGCTACAAATTCACCTCTGTGTGAGCACACAGAACCACAGAAAGGAGAGCCATGGCAAACAGAGCCTTTGCTGGAAGAGAAGTCAACAGATCCCACTTCAGCTGAGCCCGCTGCTCCTCATCAGTCCCCTCCTCCTCCTGTGACTCATCCCACAACCGCCAGGGAAGTGTTTCCCAAAGAAAATGTGAGTAGTGTGCCTTTGTTACTGCAGAAATCTGCCACGGCAAATGATCTTGTATTCAACCTTCAGAACAGCAAGGTCTTTTGTGGTTATTCTCATGGTTTATGTAGTATCTGAAATTGACTGTATTGCTGAGCAGTGTCCATCTCATAATTGTCATTGGGCTTTCTCTTTCTTGGATTTCTTTGGAAGTTTTTAGAAGTGTTAATTGAGATTGAGGCAAAAAGGGATCATACCTGATTTACAGATAAATTAATGGAAGCAAATAGACATTAAATGACTAATCCAGGGTCACATAGCCAGTATAGTGGAAGCTGAATTCTGTTTGCTTCATTAATAGCTTCATAAATCTCCTTAGAGATCATGTTGGGTGAATCTAGAGCAGCAAGGAAATTTGTTGAAATGTGGTTGTAGGGTAAGAGTCTTGGTGTAATGTCTAAAGAAAAGAAGAAAATCATGGTATCTAGTTAGCTTGATCTTTAGGTTTTGCTGCTCCAGCTTTTGGCAAAGCTAAAGAGGGCTGCTGTTGGCTCCAGCAGCAGTAGTCTTCTCTCTGAATAGATATTGACTTAAAATAATTTAACAAATTAAGCTTTATGACTTGTTGGCTTCTTATCAACAGGTGACTTATTTTGTAGATGTGTGCACTTCCACAAAAGGCATTTTGTGTATGTTTTATTGTATTCCATAGACAAGAAACAAGTTTTGTTCACAGGCACCGATTCCATTTCTTCATGATGTTATTAAGGGAATTTCTGCATCTGTACTTACTTGTAAAGCAATACTGCTTTGATGGGGAGAAAAATGCATTGAGGTGAATCCAACTAGTGATGAAACAACTTCACATCTAAATAATTTCTAGAATAGTAAAATTTATTTTCTCTGTTAGGTTGAATTTTTACCTTATGATGAGAGACCTCTTCCAGCTATCTGTAAGCAGTCTGATGAAGCAATTGTGTACCTTGAGCCGGAGATGACTGAGGAGGGTATCAGCGATACCCCAAGAAGTGGCTTTACTGGGGAACCTGAACCATTAACTGAGAAGTCACTGAGGGAGGCCAGCCCTGCTGTTGAAGTTTTTGGAGAAGCTTTGGTAAAGAACAACAAAATAAACCCCTAGATTATTGTGATCTGTGTTGAGTGCATTTGATATGCTCTCTGTCAACAAAGACTTACTGATAAAATTTTTACCTGTTCAGAGCTGTTACTTAAAAATCTGAGATAAAAATTTGACCTTGGATATATGTCTCTGTTTTCAACATTTACATGATGTTGTAGCATTTATGATTGATCACTTGATGAGCTACTAAGGAGATAGTACCTGGTAGACTGCTTTAGGGCACAGACTCTATCAGAATACCCACAGTGTTTTGTAGGGAGAGAAATCATTACTATGCCTGAACCATTGTTCCTTGAGCCTGACCCGTTAATCCATTTTACTTACCAGTTTTCAAAAATATGTGCTTTAATAAAAGCCAGATTCTTATATGAAAAACCTGAGGATTTCATGCTTAAGTTCATATGTTCTTTTGAGGCTGTTTCTGTATAGAGATTTTGGATAAATAGTGAAATATCAGTATTGACTTTTTCAAAGATAAACTTGTTCTGTGTTCAGGTTTCAGGAGCATATTCTAAAACTTGGTCATATCGTGAAGATGCATTACTGGCTGTGTATGAGAAGCTGATGGAAATGTCAGTAAGCACTCCGAAGGATGATTTAAAGAACATGCTGAGGGCTGCCATTTTTCTTGTAAGGAGAGCAATCAAAGACATAGTGTCTTCAGTAAGTTGTGATATGTTTGATAAGAAATGCTCCAGTGAAGAACTAGCAGCCAGAATTGTAGAACCATGTGGTTAAGATACTTTGAACAAATAGTTTGTAAAACTACTGTTGACTAAGTTTGTTTGTTTTTTGTTTTTTGTTTTTTGTGTTTTTTTTTGTTTGTTAGTTTGTTTAAAAAAAAAAAAAAAAAAAAAAAACCAAAGAAAATTAAAAACCAAACCAGCCAACCAACCAACCAAAACCAACTGGAATACCAGCTTTTAGGTAGAATCAAGGACTGGGCAGTGTCTGGCATTCAGCAGCATGGAAAATACGGTCCTGGGCTAATGAGTTTGAGAAACAACTGCTGATGCAGTAAATTCCTGGTGCAGTTGAGCTGTTTTTTGGGGTTTTTTTGGAGTGTTTGTGTGTGAAGTTGAAATACAGCAATGAACTAACTTTTAGTTTCCTACTCGAGAGACTACAGTTAGCCTAAGGAGACTTAGGCTTCAAATAAGCCTTAGACAAGTAGAAAAGAAAAAAATCAAGAGCTATGTTACTCTTTATAAAACAAATTCTGAAGCTGTTCCCCTAAGCCCTAGCAACATGTTTCTGGAAGAGAGGTATCTGAAGTAGTTTCCATTAACAGTGTTACTGTAATTCTAGATTTGTGTTACTGCTGTTCTTTAGAACTGCAGAAAAGATTTTACAGTATTGCCTGAAAACAGGGATCTGTGTGGTATTTTTGTTCAGTATTTCATTTTTCTTTTTAACTCAGGTTTTTCAAGCTTCCCTGAAGCTTTTAAAAATGATCATTACCCAATATATACCAAAACATAAACTAGGAAAGCTAGAAACTTCTCATTGTGTGGAAAAAACACTCCCAAATTTGCTTTCTAGAACAGGAGACTCTTCATCCCGTCTTCGCCTTATGGCTTCTAACTTTATTCAGGTAGGTGCTTTTCTTCAAATTACCATTTGATTTGCATTAAGAATGTCACCAAGCTCACAGGTGGGTGCATCTAACCAGACTTGACTTCCAGTCCAGAGTTTGCTGCTGTAAAGGAGTATGCCTTATGTGGAAAACAAAGTGGTAGCACCAGCTTAGTATCTTTGCAGTGTTTCTTCTAGGCCTGTATTGTCGCCTTTGTTGGGGGGCACAGCGTGGGGAGATACCTGCTGCTGCAGATGCAAGACGGGTGTGACTCTTGCATTCTTCTTGGTTGCAAGTGATCTACAGGGATGAGAGCAAGAAAGTACAACATACCACTCAGGCTGTGTTGCAATTTGATTGCATTTTTGATAGTCTGTTTTTAAAGTCAGCTTAGCAAAAGCATTTAAAAATGCCCATTTTAAAAGAAGCAGTCCATTCCTTGCTCAGTGCTGACAGAGAGCAGCTGTGAATAGCTGCTGGATTACAGGCTCTATTTTCCAGTAGAATTTAGAAGAAAGAATAGGAGTTCAGTGTGAAAATGTGTTAATTCAGTCCTTGGAGTGGGGTGAGTCACTGGCTCTGGGTCATTTATCCTTGCTTACATCCACACATGGAGGAAAAAGACTTTTCTTTGGCTGTAGATGTAACTAAAATTTTAACAGAGTTATTGTGTGAAGTGGTCTTGGTGTGTCACTGGAACCCCAAAGGTGACAGGTAACTTTATTACTACTGTTTGGCTTGGGTATAATAGATTTTGTAATTGAATGAGAAAGGAAATGAGAAAGGGTTACAAATGTATTTTCGTAGACAGAACATGGCTTGGAGAAAAGGAGAATGTGTTTATTTTGTATGGCTGCTAATAGATGATACACTGCCTGAATAGCAGTTCTCTGGGGAAAGTGTCAGTATTTCTTGAAGTAAGTATGTCCAAAACAGAGCACCCAACCCAGTGACAAGTGCATCTGGCCCTGAGGAAGAGGACTTCAGGACACCATCGTTGCTCCAGTGTCTGTCAGCTGACAGGAACTGGAGTTATTAAACATTCTGCTACCCGCAAAGGAAGAAACACTGAGCTTTGAATAACAGCAGAATTTTGCCCTTAAGATTCTTTGCAGAATAGAATGAGAAATTACAAGTTGCTATGTGTCTTCTGAAGCACTCTTGAAATCCATCTTGATGCAATGTGAAGACTTTGTATCCTTTGTGACTCTTGTCATCTACTTCTTCCTGAGGTAGCTCAGTGTAAGATGGAGTTCTTGAAATTTTTCTTACGGTCCAGTTCTATAACTAATCTGAGCATGTCTTAAAACTTTCTCCATTTCTCAGTAGCTTTCTCTCCGATGCCAAAAGCAAGACCAAACATCTCAAAGCTTTTGCAAGCAACTTTTGGCTGCTAAAGTAACAAATAAGCAGCTACTTCTTATGGAAGGCTTATTTCATTTTACTTGTTATAAGTAACTTAGAATAACTACTTTGCGAAGACAGTTAATTTTCCTCCTTTAGCATTCCTACATGCACACTGACTCTCTGTATGCTTATAGGAAATGGCACTGTGTAGTGAAGTTAAAGCTCTTCAGATTGTTCCAGTTCACTTGGTTCAACCATTAAAACCAAACTCCTCAACACATCTGGCAATGAGTCAGGTGGAATTAGTGGAATGCCTCTTGAAAGACATGGGAACTGAAAACTCTGGGTTTACCATCGGCAACGTCATGAAGGTAGGAGTCTGAGTTTACAGCACATTAATTTTTTTCTGTTACTGTTTTATTGGGGCTTGTCTGTCTGTTTTGGAGTGCTTAGTGAATTACTGAAGAGAATTTGCGCCTCTTGGAGGTGACAACACACAACCTGGTGAGGACGCAAGATGCCAGTACAGGGAAAAATGAATTACTGGGTCAAAAAGTGTTTGCAAAAACCTGTCTGTATGAAGATTTCTCCCACTGCAGTGAAATAATTGTCTTAGACTAATAAACAAGTCCTTAAAAAGCATGGGAAAAGAGAGGCATAATTTTTTCATTATTATTATGATTTTCAGTTTGCAACGGGAGCTTTGGAACACAGAGTTTATGAAGTTCGTGATGTAGCGTTGCGGATTATCTTTGATATGTACAGGAAGCACAAGGCTGCTATACTGGAATATCTTCCTCCAGATGATGCAAGCATTCGAAAGACTGTTCTCTATAAAACACTCTTTGATGGCTTTACTAAAATAGATGGTAAACTTTCTGAAGCTGAAATTAGGGTATGTAATAAGATTGCAGAACATACGTAGCTACTTTAAACATTGCATTCAGCTGAGCAGTGTACAGATTGCATAGCTATATTGGGCATCGAATGACACATGTAGCGGAGCACCCTAAAGTGTGTTGTTAACATTGCTTAGTGTAAAAAGCTGGTGTTCAGTTTATTACATATGCTCACTCTTATGAATAAAGCCTATAAAGAATACACAGATGGTACTTCTGAAAGAATATACAATCATTTTGGAAAATATACATATACTGTTTTATGCTGGCTAGCCTTGGAAATGGTAAGCAGAGAGGAAATGCTCTGTTTCCTTCAGGTAGCACAGAGGAATTCAGAGGGAGGGAGGTGTTACTGCGACAGACCAAACATTTAACTGAGCAGGATATTTCTTGTACTGCACTGACCATTTGTTCTGTGTTGCTGTGTTTTGCAATCTCTTCTATATGACAGATGGTTCAAAACCTGTTGTAATCAGAAGTATTTCCTGACAGGCACAGAGAAAGGCAGCAACAGAAGAAGCAGAGAAACAGAAGAAGGAAGAAATAAAAGTCTTGCAAGATCAGCTGGCAGCTCTAAAGGAGATACAAGCAGAAGTTCAAGCTGGAAAGGTTAGGGTGTTTTGATTTTGATTTTTTTTTTTTAATCCTTTTTTCCTCAGGTATCACAGGCTGCGGCAATTAACATAGCTTTCTCACTATAAACAAAAAAAAAAAAAAAAAAAAAAAAAAAAAAAGGGACTCCGTGACATGCACTTACCCCCTCAACAGTCCAGCTTAAAATCTGGGGGGTTGTTTTTCCTAACATAGTATAAAATTTGGATTCTTTTTTATGACAGCTTTGTCTATCGTATGGTAAAATTGAGAGTGTTTCTACAAGTCTAAGTGTTTCTGTACCAGCTAGAGTATAGAAATTGTACTGAGTGCGTCAAGGCCCTCCAGAAGCATGCTGTACTACACATCCATTAAGTTTTATGTCTGAACCTTAGAAAGGTAGTCAGCTGCCCACGTGCCAGGAAGTAGGACTGTTTGTCCATCCTCAGAAGCTTGCTGCCTCAATACCTGAGAGATTTCCTGCAGGACCAGACGCACAGATGTTGTAATGCATTGGCTCTGCTTCTAAGCTTTTAATTACAGACAAAAATCAGAATATAATCTGTTCTCTTTTTCCCTGGTAAGCAGCAGAGTCATTAAGAAAATTTCTGACTTAAATTTCTTCGTTCAATAGGAGAAAGAATCTGATTTTCAGAAGCCAAAGAATCGAAGTAAGTAGTTTAAAATAGTATTAAGAAATGTAGAAATATTTCAAGATGTTTTTGAAACACTGTAGATGCTTAATAGAATATTGATTTATCTTAGTTAAAAACATGCCAGAGTGCTTTGGATTGGCTGAGTCTCAACCTGCCATAGAGGTAACCACTGAGTTCACAAAACAAAATTTACCATTAGCTAACCAGTTAATTTCTAATAAATTAGTATGGCTTGGGTTGAAACGATTTCAGATTTCTCCCCAGCCTGAAGTAGACCATCTACTACATGTAAAAATAACCACTAAAATATTTTACCGTTGTAGATCAATAAAGAAATAGTTTCCCAACTGTCTACAGGTCTGTTGTCTTTCAGTGCTTGTTTACCAGTATGGCAATGGTGAGCTTCTCTTAGGTTTTCTGCTGTTAAGATCTAGAGAAGCGGTATTTCTAGGCACGCATGAAAAATAATTAAAATGTGATCTTGGTTTTAATAGTTCTCTTTTTACAGGTTACCAGGTAAACGAAAGCCCACAGCCTGCAGCAGCAGAGATTCCAGCTAATCATTCCTCTGTTGCAAATTACTTGGATAAGTAAGTTAGATGAGCATCCTCTACTCACCTAAGCACTTAGTATAACCTACAAGCTAATAACATGAATAACATTTTTCCAGTACAACAACAGCTAATACCTTCAGCATTGAAACAATGAATATCTCTTCTAACAGATTTGGCATTATTACCAGGGAATCCTAGATGTTGACTTTTTAAGTTCTTGAATAGTGTCACCTTGAACTTTTTTTCTGAGTAGTTGCTTGTGGAATAAGAAATTGCCACAGTTTACTGTTCAACTGCCAGTATAAAATAAGGCAAGGATATATTGTAGCTTTCACATGCATTGTAGCATAAGGGTGTAGAGAAAGCATTTGAAAATTACGGAGCCATGAAAGCCAGTTTCAGTGCTCAGTGCTTTTCTGGAATTGTGTTTCTCTATACAAACAACTGCTTTATAGTTGTAATTGCCATAAATTATATGATACTATCTGTTCATGCCTTATCCTAAGGTCAGCACTACACAGCAAAAATAAGGTGTACCAAGATGCTAGGTGTTTTTCAGAATAGTTTCTAAGAAAAGAAACAAGGTTCATCCATTTCACTCTGATGTTAATGTTGTTTGTATTTTTTTTTCCTAGCTTATGTATTTTTTGTGGTGAAAGGGATGAATCCTTCACAGAGGAAGGATTGGATCTCCATTACTGGAAACACTGCCCAATGTTAACCCGATGTGAGCACTGCAAACAGGTTAGGCATAAACTTCTAGAGCTACTACAAGACATTAACTGTTGTTATTCTTGTTTTAAGGTGCTATAAGATATTAAACATTAAGGTTGATGAATTCTGAACACAACTGTGTGATCTTCGGTAGTGCTTTTTGAAAATAACAGCATTATAAATTGCATTAGTAACTGGACTAAAATTGAATTTTCCCTTTGTCATTTTGGAAAGTGAGATTTCACTTCCAGAAATCACATAAGCAGTTTTTAAAATACTACCCTTATTTACTCAGCGCAGTACAAATCTGCTTGGGTGCCTCTTGCTCTGTTGCAGGTGGTGGAAATAGCAAGCCTGACAGAGCACTTGTTGACTGATTGTGATAAAAAGGACAACTTTGGGAAATGTCAAAGATGCAGTGAGGCCCTTCCAAAAGATGAGTTGCCCAAACATATTAAGAGCAAGACTTGCAATGGTGAGTCATTTTGAACAGGAAGGCTGAACTTCAAAGGTCAAGTCGGTCAGACTTCCAAATACTGTGTATCTTTGGCAAGTCGGACCGCTTCTATTTAGGTACTGCACTGTGGATTTAGAAATCTTGGTAAATCCTCAGGAGGGAACGCTTTTGGAATAAATGCCTGAGTTTCCCAGTGCTTGAAATGCTTCGCTTCTATGAATGTATGTGAGGAGATGAGTGAGAAAGCTTCTACCACATCCTTGCAGATTAAGTCCTATTGTTCCTTTTGATCTTGTTTTGATGTAGATGATTAAACATGGGACTTCTCTGAGAGCGGTTAATGATAGTGTAGGAGCTGGTTTAGCTGGGGGTAGTTTTATGCTCTTTGCTGTGCAAGTTTTCCTCTTGTAGTTGAAATTAGCCTATCTTTGTCATACTTACATTATTTTTCTAATAATTTCAGCTGCCAAACCAGAAAATGTGGCAAACCATTGCCCGTTGTGCCATGACAACTTTTCCCCAGGAGAAGAGGTAGGACTGCCTTCCAGATTGGCCTGAAGTTATGTGACTGGGACTGAATTCAGGTCGTCTTCTAACACTGACTTATACTCAACAACTTAGGAACTTGCTTGAATTATTGCCAGGGTCTATAATGGCTATCTCACACTCTGGGGACCATATTTGAACCTGGGTCTTCTACTCTTAAAGGTGTATATTGGAACCACAGGGCTACAGGCTATTTGGTGTTGGTCTTTCTCCTCCTGCATAGGCAGCTATACACATTACATCTTTCCAAATTCCCCACTGCTACCAGATTCTGTGAGTTCAGTTGTCAGCCTTGGTGTTTGGAGTGACATTATGCAGCTTAAAATACTGCAGCAGGACTGAGCACATCCAACATGGCATTCAGGATTAAGATGTGGTTGATTTGGGTATAAGAAAAAATTGACATGAAGAAAGTAAGCAAGAACTGCTATAATTGTCAAGAGAGTCGAGATGGCCTCTCTCTAATTTCTATGTGCTGGTCCCTATAACTGCCTGTTGCTGTGAAATCTGTGACATGCCAGCTCCAAAATGTGCTTTCAGCGATTGCAAATATGTATTGGTATTATATAAAAAGCGATTTGTTCAGAAGTTACTTAACATGTCTGGTTCAGTCTTTTATATGAATCATCTAACAGTACATTATGGTCATATGTAAGTAGTTCTGTGTATGATTTAATTTTCAGAAAAAGACTGTCCAGGAGGCAGCCAACAACTCCATACTGAGTATTAGATCCAGTTAAATGTCAATGACTGATATGTAATTTATGTCATTTTCTTCTGTTCAGTGGGACCGTTGAGTAGTGCTTCTGTTCTAAAAACCAAGTTTATTTCTGAATCCTTTTTGCTTTGCCCAGCATGAGGAGCTCAGAAAATACTGTAGCTAATCTGAAACATCTGTTGAGATATGTACGTGTTGTTTGGATGTGGCTTTTTGGTTTTCAGGTTTTTTTGCTTCTGACCAAATTGTTCTTGTAAGTAAGAGGCTTCACACAGCCTCTAGTTTAAAGAGGCTGTCATGTTTTCTACTCCTACTCCTTCAGGTTGCTGAATGCTTTAACTATTATCATAACCTTGTAGTTATGCCCACACTTTTTCAGTTTAAAATATGTATAGATGAAAAGATTTACCATGTTATTTGTACATTGTTTTTTTTCCTGATTTGAACTCAGTTAAGAAAATTTAAAAAACAAAATGAGTGTCACCTGCTTTTAATTTCTAGAATCTGGCTGGGTTTTTTTATTGTGATGTACCTTTTAAATGATATTAAAAAAATAGATATATCAATTTCTGTTTCACTTAGTACATCATAAGGTGCTCATACTTTTATAAGTGAGCAGATTAAAATGCTATTGCCATCAAGTCTGAATACAACTCTCATTTTTCCCATGTTTTAAAAAGTGTATGTGCATACATAGTGACTAGATAAAAGATTGGCTAATTGTACTGATACTGTAATATCACTTATTTTTAATTGACTTTAGGCCTGGAAAGCTCACCTAATGGGCAGTGATGGCTGTAAAATGAATCAACGGAGGTTATCCCCAATAAATAAAACTCTTCTGGTGCAGCCTGGTAAGATATTATTTCATGATAATAATGATTATGCTTTTTACCGTGTTGCCTTTACCTAAGAAAAGTATTTCATCCTTGAGAGCAAGCTGGCTCTTAATTACTTGTTCAACACTTTTTTTGTATTTGTGTAACCTAACTGGTACTTCTTATGCTGGTATAGACTGCAGTATACTTAGGGAGCAAATTCTCAAAATCATTCAGTAACAGTAATTTCAAAATGAGGGCATTAACTCAGTTGATTGGGGAAACTGGCATATTTGATAACTTGATCAGTTCAGGGTTTTTTTCTGCATAATAGTATGACCATGAATAGAACAATTAGTGGTGATACTAAACAGTTAACATTCTGGAAAGCTCCTGAACGCTGACAGAGAACCGAGAGCCTGATTCAGCTTTTAATGTCCAATCAGAGGATGCTAATCTAATCCTAATTACAAGATGAATTGAATAGTTAGTGCTGTGTACTGCCTTTCCTTTTCAGTTCAGACCCAGGAGCTAGGCAGAATTTATGATTGTGCAGCTTCCTCACCAACAAAGAGAAACTGACGCTGATGTCAGGTGTTGGGTTTTTTTAACAGTCATCTTTATTTATGAAGCACATGCAAAATCCTTTATTTCCCAAACTCAGAAGTTAAACAAACAAGCTATTTTCACTGCCTGCAAGTACCAAAACTCATTTGGCCAGTAACATTGAAAACCTTTCTCCTTCAGACTTTTTTCCAGAGCTCGTTAGTCTGCTGCATATTCAGGTTGTTGCTAATCTCCTCTGCCTCGTATTTGCTTTGCTCATATCTGTGTTTCACAACAACTCCAAGTTCCTGGAAAGAATTGTTGAATTATCCCTTTCAGCTGTTGTAAATGAATGCAGTTAAACTCAACAGTTTCCAGTCCTGAACTGGACCTCCCTTAATGTCTGTCCGTCTGTCTTCAAATTGCTGTTTCTACTTGCTAATGACAATGCTAGTTAACTCGCTGCTGCTTAGAATTTGGAAACATAGAAGCAACTTCAATCCTGCTTGGACACACCTAAAGCTCCAGAGTAATTTCCTAGAGGTAGGAAAGGAACCCTGACCATTTAGTCCTACGGCTCCTGGTATGAGATGCGGCTCAGACTGGATGCCTGCCAGCTTTTAGACACTAGTGTCAGTCATTCAGACATAATATATCCTGAGAATCAAAATGGGAGATAAAATTCAAGACTGGGACCAGATGTGCTTGCAATAACAATCTTTATTTTCTCTTCACAGGCAAAATAGGTGGCCAGTATTTAAAGAAACCAGGTCCTCCAGGTGCAAAAGCTCGACCTCCCTCTATAGGAAGCAAGATCCCAACCCCAAGAGGGGGCTCAAATAAAAGCACTGGCAAAACATACTCAAAGCGATGACAGGACAAGTATTTTTCACTTTGTCTTAGTAACTGGGCATATAGTTGTTAATAGTTATTTATAAATTGTGGGCGACTCATACCTGCTTTTTCAGTTGACTCCATGGGGCTGTAGATCAGCCTTGAGCAGCACTTGCCTAGTCTGATAACTTCGGTGTTAGCTGGCTGTGCAGCACTGTGGGTTTCTCCTAGAAGTGCTCTCATTCCCTGCGTGGCACAAGGAAGGCTGTGCACTGGTCTTTGGCTGGTTCCTCATATTAAAAAAACTCCCTGATGAGTGTGAAATTAACATGGCCACAGTGTGTAGCTGCTGTCCCAGTCAGCCCAGAGGCTGTGCTCTGGTTATGGGATTACTCTGGGGCTGTGGTTCTAACTGTCTGGTTTTGTGGTCCAGTAAGGAATTTCCTTAAGATCCAAAAGCCACAGTCATCTGTGGTTCAGCTTTCTTTTGGGGAAGAGAAAGAAACCTACTAAGCAGAAATTGTACTAGACTGTCAGGACAGAGCTGAAAAGCATTTGCTCTTTTGATCTAAGTGTAACACTTGTTTGCAATTATATATTCTGAAAGCTTGGGTGTTAATACCTGTATTAGCTGACTTCACCACCTGATCACTTCAATGTAATAATTGCAGAGTAGATTGCTAATAGTTTTCTGCCAAAATTGACTTTATAACATGCTGAAAGCAATAGTGTCAGTAATTTTTGTTTGTCTTGCCATCGGACATTTGTGGTAGAAGAATAGGTCACAAGTTAAACTGTGTGTACCGGTTGGCTATGAGGTCGGCTGCCTGTGTGCATTTCCACATTACAGCAGTGCATTTACAGAGAATTCATCATTATTAGACTTGTAGAAACACCTTTGAAAATGTGGATGTATGATGAGCAAAATCGGCTTGTTGCAGTTGCTCAGGATCTTTTGATGGGATGATGGTGTTGGTATCTTAGCAATGCCATCGTTCATCTGCTATGATGTGCAGCAGCATAAAGTGAAATGAAAAATGCATGCACGTGTAGGAGGAAATACATGTCAGACTATAAGAAATGTGTATCTTGGGTATCTGAAAGACCTGTATGATCCTGTATAGATAAACTCTTGAACCAATTAATGGGTAAAATAACAGTTCCCTAAAGCAAAATTCTTCCTCATGGGTTTGCTGGCAGAAAAAAAGGAAAAAAAAAAAAAAAAAAGGAAGAATCGCAGTGTAGGCAAGGAAAGCTGTGGGGTTTGGTTTTTCCGCTGCAAATTCTATAGTGTGGATTTATTTGCTTCAGTTAGGGCCTGTCTGCAAGTAATGCCAGGAATTGGAATGCTTTTTCAGGAGTCCACTCCTCAAGTATAATGAAGTAAGGCAAATAATCATGCCATTCTTTGGTGACTGGTTTAACTGCTATGCCAGGACCTAGTGTGTTTTGATAGCAAGAAAGACACTATTAGTGTGTTTACAACAGCTGCCTTTTCCTCCATTTGTCATGATAAACTTTGTCAGGTAAAATGGGGCAAATTTATAGCCATTGTGAAAGCTTACAAGTCCATTTATTTTTGTTAGGCTCTAAAACTCTTGGTTCCTTCACTGGAAATGGGAACTGTACTTCTTCCTAAAACTGACTGCTATCTTTGAACACCTCGTAAGTCAGCTGAAAGCTCTAGTTGACCCTGCAAGGAAAGGAATTGGATCAGGGCCATTATATAATGTTTCCACTAATTTTTAAAATGCTTAGAAATATCATTTTGACAGATAATTTGTTCTCCTTTCTAATACCGGTGTCTGTAATCTTATGAGCTTAAGCATGTGAATAATGTCAAGTGAAATAGATGTCTCTTCCTTGGGTCCACAGAGGCTCTAGGAGTAACACAAGCCATGCGTGGTGAGAAGTGGTTTTGCTGTGGAAGCCTGGCCTTTACCTATATTTCAGGTTTAGAGTTGTAAAGGCAGTAGAGCAGGACCCAAAGCGCCACTCAGCACCAAGAATTAGCACCAAATAAAAAAGGTGAAGGGCTGGTTGGCTGTTGCCATACGACATGCCGTTACTAGGAAGTAACATGAAATAGCTGTTGTGTGCTGCCTCTTGCTGTGCACTAAGTGCCTTATTAGTCCCCTTGACAAAAGGATTCAGCGAAACCGCAAGAGTCCCATTAGGTACATAATAAGAGTGTGTATCGATGGAGCTACTGTTAAAGTTATGCTTTAAAATCTCACAGTTAATTCTGAAATATATCCCCAAGAATGGCCCCTTAAAGAAAATAAAAAAAATCTTACTGGGGCCCTGAAAGGCTTGTATTAATAAATTTAGACCTTTTTTCCAGCTTTAGTGTACTTTCTCTCAGCTCGCTTCTAAATCCAGATCTAATACTGAGTTGCTCTAGTTAGATCTTGATTAAAATAAACATCCATAGACTACAGCATGTGGCCATTTAATAACTTTAAAGAGAACAAATTCTATTATAAAGACACAATGTATGAAGCTTTGTACCTAAAGCAACACTCCTAACATTTCTACCTGTAACACTCAGGCAGTTGCTTTCCAGGGTAGAATTAATTGGTCTCATGTCTATGTCCACCACAGGTACAAGAATGAGCAATTATGATAATATAAGTAGAGGTTTGGGGGTTGAGGTTTTTTGCTACCACAGAGTGAATTTGCGCTGCTGTTTTGTGTATACAGCACTGATTTTGTAATATGCATTTTTTATAGTTGGCGTGCAGCCTATCTACAAGCTTATAGATTTTACAGGTGCGCTTGTATTTTGAAGGTCTTTATATAAATTGTTTCTTTAACTTTTCCAAATACATATATCAATAAATATACATATGTTAGGAATATATATATAGTAGCAGTTATATATGTATTTTTATTTCTACTTTAGTGACACAGGTTCCTATTTGAGAACCTGATTCCTTATGCAAACAAAATAACCGTTGATTTTACTCAGAATTTAGCATTTGCAATGGACTGCAGGTTCATGAGCTGTTGGCCAGAGCACTTTCTTCTTTTGGATGTAAAACTGTGAGCTTTCTGTTGTGCAAGTTTGATGAAAAAAAAAAAAATTACAAAGGTCCTCCATGTATTTTGGATTGGCCAATAGAATATGTGTATTGAATTAGTAAATACAGCTCTACATTGCTCTTCAATCATGTTTTTTAAACCCAATCAAGCAACTTGTAATTAAAATAACCAGTTAAATCCTGCATGTAGCAGGATGTGTGCTTTTTATTTTGTAACATTACGGGGACAACTTTTTAAACTTGTTTTTTAAAAAAGAAAACAAGACTTGAATTAAAAAAACAAACAAACCAAACACCAAAACCAAGGCCCCACAAACACTATTAATTCTAGTGAGGGTCATATTTGCCAGTGCTGACTGACCTGAGTAGCCCGAGTTGGGAGCTAGGTCAGGCACTTTTACAGACCTTCTCTTCCGAGGCATTTTCCCTTGTTTCTCGTGTTTTCTGCAGCTCTGTGCTCGGGCTGCCTGTCTCCCCGGGCGGTTGTTGGGGCTCTGGAGCAAGCACAGTGACAGCTTTTCTCTTCGCTCCATTGTACAGCACAGTAATGATGCCTTAGGGACCCGGGCAATGACTCCCTGCTGCTTTTTCACTGCAAGACGTTGTCACATAGGAGATTCCTTCCCCCTTACCACCCACCTTCCTTACCTAGGGAGGGGGAATTAGGTATGTGCAAGAGAAGCTCATTGCAGGGCCTTTGTCAGACAGCTTTTAAGACAAATGCATAGTCTTGGGCACACCACATTGCATCTTAGGGCTCTGGAATTTTTTTTCAGATCCAAATAGCTCTTTAGCAACATGTTAACGAAATAATTTAAATATTTTAGAGTGTGTAACATTCACTGAGACTGCTTTAGACTAAAAAAATGGACTGCTACAGTGAGGTATAAAGATGATAATAACTACTCAATGGTACGAATTGGAAACAGAAGTGAGAAAATGGAATTTTTTTAGGATGTGAGAGGACCACCTTTGAGCATAGTAGTACCACCGATGTAATTTTGAAAGCATGGGCTGCTTCCTTTCACTTGATAAACTACCTGTGTTTTCTGCAGTGACAAAATAAACACTGGTGTGAAAAACAGTGAAGTTTGTTCCTGTGCTGTGAAGTCTCGAGCAAAACATTCTGGAACAAAAATGTTACATGGGTGCAGGTCTGGCTAATGGAAAGAAGTTCTCCAAACTGCTGGACTGGAAGCGTTAGACCAGCACTGACGGTACATCGTTCTTAAAGAACAGCCTGTGGTCCCGGTCTCCTGGGCTGTTTTCTGTATGATCTAATTCTCCATCCCGTACCTGACTGTCAACCACGTTGGTTTCATCCATCTGAGCTGCAGAGACGCCTCAAGAGCAGCCCCCCTCCCTGCGCGCCGGCATTCATCTCATCTCAAGCGCCTGCTTGGAGTTCCGCTGCCCCGAGAGCGCGATTTACGCAGCTCCTCAGTACGGGAAAAGCAGACGAAGTACTTAAATCCTAGAGGTTTTATCGCTGTCGCTTCGAGAGAACAAGGTGCGAAACGCGCTGAGCTGTTTTTACAGCGCTTGTTTCATAAATGGGCTCCGCGAGTTCGGCCGGCAGCCCTGCCCCTGCGAGGCGCGGCGGAGCTGTGCTGCGGGGGAGCCGGCGGCGGGGCTCGCCCGTGGCGGGGCTCGCCCTGCGCGGCCGCGGAGCCCGGGGCGGGCGGGGCTCGCGGGGCGGGGTGGGGCGGGCGGTGTCCGCTCGGCGGGGCGGGGCGGGGCGGGGCGGAGCGGGGCGCCATGGCGGCGGTCTGGCCGGAGCTGGAGGCGGCGGCTCGGGAGCGGCGGCGGGAGCTGGCGCTGGCCGGCGCGGCCGTGGCCGAGCGGGTGCGGGCGGGCGGCGGGCGGCTGCCGCCGGCGCTGCTGGCGCTGCCGCTGCTGCAGTCGCTGGAGCTGAGCGGGTGCCCGGCGCTGCGGGAGCTGGGCCCGGGGCTGGCCGCCTCCCTGCCCGCCCTCCACACGCTGGTGCTGCGCGGCAACGCGCTGGGCCCCGCCGGGCTGGCGGAGGGGCTGGGCGGGCCGCTGCCGGCCCTCCGCCTCCTCGACCTCTCCGGTAACGGGCTGGAGGCGCTGCCCGCCGCGCTGGGCGGGACGGCGGGGCCGGCGGCGGGAGCCGCGGAGTTCCCGCAGCTGCGCAGCCTCAACCTGAGCGGGAACCGGCTGCGGGAGCTGGGCCCGGGGCTGGCCAGCTCCGCGCCGCAGCTCCAGGCGCTGCTGCTCTCCGGTAACCTCCTGCGGTCCCTGCCCGGCGGGCTGCTGCCCGGCCCCGCCGGCCCCGGCGGGCCCTTCCCGCTCCTCAGCCGGCTGGAGGCGGCCGACAACGAGGTGGAGGAGCTGGGCGCCGACATCGCCGCCTTGCCGGCCCTCAAGGTGGGAGCGGCCCCGCGGACCCCCCGGCTCCCCGCGACCACCCCGTCCGCTGCTCTCCACTGTCCCCCGGCTCCCCGCGACCACCCCCTCCCCGCTGACTGCCCCACTGACCACCCTGTCCCCATCTCTTCCAGAGCCTGGACCTGGCCAACAACCGGCTGAGGGAGCTGCCCGCCGCGCTGGCCGACTGCCCCCGGCTGAAGGAGGCCAACTTCAGGGGCAACCAGCTGAAGGACAAGCGGCTGGAGAAGATGGTCAATGGCTGCCAGACAAAGGCCATCCTGGAGTACCTGCGGGCTGGCGGCCGCGGGAAGGGGAAGGGTGAGAACACCAGAGAGGAGGCCAGGAAGAAGAAGAGGGAGAAGCAGCAGAAGAAGGATGGTGGGGACGGGGAGCAGGATGAGGTGGAAGAGGCAAACAAGCTGCTGGTGAAGGTTCTGCATGTCTCCGAAAACCCGGTGCCCTTGGTGGTCAAAGTGAGCCCAGGCATCAAAGATGTTCGGCCCTTCATTGTGTGCTGCGTGCTGAAGGGAGTGAACCTAAAGCCGGGAAGTGCTCTGAAGAGGTTCCTGTCTGCGCAGGTAACCGCTGCCGTCTTGTGTTACTTGTCTGCAACGTCTGCTGGCAGAGTTGGGAATAGACTGTTCTAAACTCCTTCCCGCAGATAAGTTTCTGAAATTTAGGGTGAGCCCTTCACCTAGCCGGCAGTGAGGGTATGGGGGGATGGCGGTGCAGCGTGGCCTCTGCCAGCAGCATGCTGCCTAGTCAGTCCCTAATGAGCAAAACTGGTTTTCCTGAAGAACCCAAAAAGAGCTCAGATGTTACCATGAGAGGGCGATGAATGCACACACATTTGCGTTGCTTCTCTAACAGCTTGTTAGTGCTGTGGAACCTGCTGAGAACTAATAACAAACCCGTGTCCACGTTAGAAGTACCCTGGTTTGGCTCCAGGTTCCCTAACCTGTGCTAAAACGGTCTAGCACGTCTCACCTTCCAACCGAGGTCTGGTAACCAGACATTCACCTGCACGCTGTTGGCCTGTCCATTGGATGGCAGGTGTTGGCTTCTTTCAGATTATGAGACTCGTGTGTTTGTGATTGTTTTTCTGATTTAAAAGTGTTTATCTGCAAGTTAAGAAATATGTCGTGTGCTGTGTTTCACTATCTTTACCTTTAGGTTGTAATTCAGATAAAATAATTTTGCAGGTGAAGAGAATGGCTCCATTTAGTGCAAAAGGGTTACTCAACTAGCTGATAATGCTACAAACATCAAATACATAAGAATGCTGAACCCTGGGAGGAATAAATCAAGTTGATGTTTTTGCTATGTCTTGATGACATTCTTTATGCTTTAGACTAAACTGCACGAAGACATCTGTGAAAGGCGGACAGCAGCCACAATTGCCACCCACGACTTGCAGTTGATCAAAGGCCCTCTGACATACGATGTTCAGCCCCCTGACGAACTGAAGGTAGGGCCAGTGGCACTGGAGGACCTTTCCACTTTTTTTTGTTACTTTTGTTTTCTGGAACTGTATAGAAGGGAAAGAATTTTCTTTCCCCTAGATCCTAGAAAACTAATTACAGGAACTTTAATTTAGAGGCTGTACTAATTTCCTTGCTATCTTGCTGTAATAAAGCCTGCTTGAACAGGCCTCACTGGGCTACCCAGTGTTACTCCAGGACCAGTTCAGAGTGTGTCTCTCTGAGGACTTAAAGTAATCAGGGAAAGCAGATGTAGACTTCCCCCCACCCCCCCACACCTCTAAAAACATTCTGAACTTGCTTAATGTGTGCCTTTGCTTAGGGTGACTGAGGTATCGGTGTTTCAGTGTTGATCCTTTCTCCTCTGTTGCGGTGTTACCACCTTAACATTCCCTGCAGGTCCATATGTGTTAGGATGTACCTGGAGTGTCATGCAGCAAAGCAGGTGCTCATTCGTATGACTGCATCTTGAATGGCACCAGCCTTCAAGATAACCTAATTAAAATCAACTCAGGTTCTGCTGATTAACCCATCTTGGGTTATTTATGTTACTGTTTTCAAAGAAGGGAAAGAAAAAGGAGGAAAAAAAAGCTTGCAGTACATCTGTGTGACAAGCTCTTAGACTGTACCTGTAACTTCAGAATATAAATATTTTATTTCAGATTCATCATCCTTATTTATTTAGGCCTGTTTCAGCATGTCTGTTAATTATCCTTCCTCCAGAACCCATCTTACTGAAGGACTGACCAGCTGGGATACTCTCTGGGGCTGACCCAAAGTTTTTGTTATATTCTGCTCTCTAGACACCTTGTGTTTGTAACTGCTCTGTGCATGTGGCCTGATCATCAAGAATGAATTCTTCATTTTCCTGATGGCTTACAGAGCCTTTCGTATGTGGCTTCTGTTACAAGACAGCAGGTTTCCATGTTATTCAGTAATGCTAGTGAAGGAACTGGCTAAGAAAACTGTCCACGCCAGGTTTAGCAAATGATCCGGTTTTTCAGGTGGGTGTTGTAGCTCACACAGTTTTAAACTCTGTGTGATTGTAGTAGTCCATGTTAAATAGAAGGCGTATTTCCGTACTGAAGAAGGTGTTAGGAATGATGGCATACAGAAATATGGTTTTGATTATTGACTTGCTTACAGGAGAGTTTTAATAACCCCAGTGTTTGAGTCACTCTTAAATTCAAATGTTTGTTTTCTTGTGTGGTGTAGATAATGCCCCTGGGTCGAAAGGAGATCAAGGCAAAGGATCTTCTCCGTCAGCTGCAGTTAGAAGCTGAGGAGCAGAGGAAGCAGAAGAAGCGTCAGAATGTTTCTGGATTGCACAAGTCAGTACGCTGCTCTTTTTTGGTTTTCCTCATGTGAACTTTGGTAACTTGTACTCATACGGAAAAGCAGCACTGAAGAAAATGCTCAAAAGTACTACAAAGCATGTTCTGTAATGGTGATGGGGCTAGCAAACCCAGCACGAGCTTTAGGAGCTGAGATGAAAAACACTGAACTGAATTTATGCATAAAATGGACCTGGAGTGCAATGAGGATGATGAGTGCCTGCCCTTATCTTTAGCTGCATCAAGACTAAATTCTTGTCATGTGAATTATTCTTAGAGGTGACAGGTAGATTTAGAATAGCAAATAGAAGGGAAACAAAGAGGTATGAAGTGTATGTCACGCACATTCGATAAACTAAGCAAATCAGAGGTACGGTAGATCTGCATGTAGGAAGAGAGGAGCCCTACAGCGGAGTGTGGCACTGCCTCGTTCTGTTTACTGCTCGTGCAGAGATCACTGCCCATAACCACCGCCCCTACAGCTTGGGGGGATTTCCCAAGTACGTGATGGGAGAACTGTACAGCGCCATAGTAAGAAAGAGGGAAAATGAAGTAGGCTGTGTGGAAGAATCAGACAGTGGCCTCTGATACCCCTGTCAGAGCACCGGCATCTCAGACCCACTTCTAGTGCTCTCAATCTGCTCTGACAGTGTGGATGTTGAAATGTGAGTTACTTTATGCCTCTAGCTCATCACTTCTGCAGCTGGTGGCTTTCCTCAGCTGTATCACCATGATACAGTTTTGCTGAATTTTAGTGCTTTGACTTTTGATTTTGCTATGTGGTAGATCAGGAACACGCTAATTCACGTCTATCTCTGTTTTCTGCTGTTCTGCCCAGCTGATGTTTCAGTTGCTCACTTCTTGCTTCTTTGTTTTTTTTGGCAGGTACCTCCAGTTATTGGATGGCAAAGAGAACTACCCATGTCTTGTGGATGCTGAAGGCGTTGTAATTTCTTTCCCACCGATAACCAATAGTGAGAAAACAAAGGTACTCTCTGTTAGTGGAAATATGTTAATCAGAATTAAACAGTGTTTCTTTCCACCGAGAGATATTTCACTGCACATTCAAAGATATGCAAAGTTCTGTGAAACTTGCGATTGCGTTCCAAATATAAATCTTCAAAGCCTGAATCTTCTCTGCTAGATTGTCAGATTGAGATGGATCTTGGAGTTGTATTTTTACCTTTGTAAATCTGTCAGGCTCTGGCAAGATTTTCCAAAGGCAGCAGCCTGCCTTTGCAGAGATGGCTTTATTGAAGGACAAGAATATGGTTTTTGACTTGTGAAGAAAAGCAGTAGTTTGCCTCTGGTGGAATTGAATGAAAGTCTTTCATACAGATTGTGTATTGAAATGTTGCCAAGAGACTGTGGGTGAGTGTGCTCTGATTCCTTACTTGCTTTACCTGTGAAATTCTCACAGATTAGAAAAGACACTCGTGATCTGTTTCTGGAAGTGACGAGCGATACCAGTTTACAGATATGCAAAGATGTCATGGACACACTAATTCTGGTAAGTAGTTCAGGAAAATAATCCTCTCTGTTCTTGGTGACATCTTGCTTAACAACAAAATGATTAATTGCTCACGTGTATTGAGAAGAATACAGAAGTTGATTTTTTCCATTTGAGTAGTATTAGTATTCCCTCTCCTTCACTTACTTTTTCATTTTTGCTGTATCACAAAAGGTTTTTATATTCTTGTATCGTGACTAACTGGCAGACCTCAAGGCTCACCAGGGCATATAATGTTGTGTTACCACAACTGGAAATCTGTGGTTTGACTCTGAACACCTTCCCCTTGTCAGTGATCTTATGGCTTCAATTGCTGCTAATAAATTCTTTTAGGGAGATTTCTCACTTCAGCCTGCCTGGCAATTGGCTTGCTTGGTCCTAACATTATTACAGAATTATCTTTCAGAATACTGCATTAGCAGCAGGACAGTCTCATTAGATGCCATTCAACATGTTTTCTTTTAATTAAAGCTTTCTTACTGAAAAAGATAAAACTTGGTATATTGCCAGTACAGGATAGGATGCTGTTAAATATTCTGCAAGGTAAATGTTTTTTTTTTTTTCTCATCCAGTTCACATAACCTTTAGAACACATTGGTGAAGGCTAACTGATTTGTGTAGTTGACACAAAGTAGTAACAGAGACAATTTCAAACACACCAAAAGCAAACTCCTTGGTGGCAATCCTGCAGTAGGCTCTTGTTGCTTAGAATCCAGTGCTTTGACAAAACCAGAGTTCTGTGTTAAACATAAAAAATTAAACTATTCAGAGGAGCAGGACCTCCTGGAGAGCACAGCAGTGATAACAAAAGCCCTTTCGGTGTCTTGAAAGATTCTAACCCACTGAAAAACATTTTCATGCAGATATTCCTCTAGAGGCTGGCCAGACCCACACCTTGAACGCAACTTGGAGTTGCTGTGAGGCCTTAGCTGAAGAATTGATCTTGTTTTCTGTATTTTGCTTTTAACAGAAAATTGCAGAACTGAACAGATTTACCTTGGAAAATAAGGAAGACTCAGACTCAGATAACGAATCTGATGCTCTTTGTGGACCAGTGAATTTGAACCCCAGCCAAAATGTACAGATGATGAATTTTCCGTTGGTAGTGGAGCAGGTTCGAGTGGTGGACACAGATGGAAACTTGAAAGTACTTTATCCTTCAAAAACTGACCTAACCACAGTTTCCTCTCTCCTGACTGTAATACGTTAGCAACTATCAAAGCTAAGAAAATGATTCCATTTTCATTTTTTTTTTTCTTTGCCATATTCAACAATGCAACTTGTACACAGTCAGGTGGTTTGGTTGTTTTTTGTTTTTTTTTTTTTTTTAAAGAAAAGATGCAGTCCATCCTGCCTGGGTATGTAAAAGCTTTAAAGTTTGATCAAGCTGTGGCAAGGAGTATTGCATTCTTTCAGCCTTAATAGAAAGGCATCAGTATTCTGACTAGGTAGAGATAACAGCACCTTCAAATGCGAACTTAAAGGCAGAGAAGGTATTGGAAGTCAGAATGCATTAGCTTGTAGAGAAAATCATTATGACATCTTAATGTTTTTAAAATGAGTGCAGTCATATTTTTCTGCAAGATCGCTATTTCTTCCTGGCGTGTTTCAGCTGGGTTATTATTTTGGCAGCTAAACTGAGAAATCCAGTAGGTGACAGCATTGAAATGAAGTCACATGCTAGATACTGATACTGAAGACAGAATGCAAAACTGCTTTGCTAACATCTCATTCTGCATAATTTTATTTTCATAGCTGGAGTAATTGTGACAATTTAATTGCTGTCAGAACTTCAGGAATGAGTTTTAAAGTGATGGTTTCTGTGTTTAGGCATTAACACAGCTTCCATTTTTAAGTGAAGTCAGTTGAATTGACTGCAGAGCTTTGTGTGTTCCGGTGCATTTTAGAGCCGTCATTCATTCTTGTGGAAATACCAGGTGTCGTGACCTTGTTGTGTACCCATTGAGTTACTGTTGATTGAGCACTGAATTTATTCCTGCTTCTGAAGTTCAGTTCCGTTCAGAGGGCTAATGCTGCCTGACATCGAGGCTTCTAAAGCTCCCTGTCTCCCCCAAGTACAAGGGCTCTTGCCCAGAGTGACCCTCCTGGAGCTTTCTGTCACACTCCCACGTGACAAGTGTTGGGGACACCTTCCAAAATACAAGCAGTTTGAGTGATTCTAATGTTTGCAGTCTGTGGGTGACTTTTACATCTGGGATACTACCTGTATGATTGCAAACCTCTCCATAAGCTAGGGTGACCAACAGATTGACTTTTTTCTGTTAAAAATGATACAGAGCTCTCACTGAACTTCCAGATACAGTGTCAAATACATCCATGTGTTGGGACTTGCATATTGAATGGAAGAATAAAACAGTTCTTGCAATCATATGTCACTGTCACTTGTTTTGGCACTGGTGAATTTTTCAGTCATGTAACTATACAAACTTGCCAAAGTACCTCCTGTATACTGCAAAAATGGTAACTTAATGCTTTCTAGCTACTTGTAGCCAAGCAGACCTTAGTAGGGCTTCAGGGTTCCCTGTGAAGTCAAATGTTTCTACAGACCAGTGATTTACAGTGAATTGTACTCTGAGTCGGTTGAAACAATTGAATTAGATATTTCTGCAGAACTTGATTTCAGTCAAATGAGTTTAATTTTTTAGTGAGTCACTGTCTCAAAACCAAGGAACAGGAGCCTGAAGCTGGTGACGTATCCTGCCTGGGCTGTTAGGACTGCTTTTTAGGCTCAAGAGATGCTACCTTGCAGGACTCTTTCCTTTGTCCTTAGCACTGGCAGGTGATAAAGTAGATGCGTCAGTGCTGTAGAGCGATGGGACCTTGATGCCTTTCTGTTTCAGCATCTGATGGAACTCGATCCGTTCACTAATAATCTTCTGAAAATTAGGGATTTGTAAAGAGGTGGGAAAGCATTAGGTGGAGAGCAGTACTGCAAAGTGTTTTCTTACCTCATCAGTGCCTTGCCGCCTGCTAGAGCCACGTACCTGCATTGCCTCCAGCACCTCCTCATCCGTGAGCTCTGCCTGGGGAGGCTTGCTGCCTGCCGTACTGAACGTAGCCTGAATTACTTTGCTTCGGTATCTTTCAAACTTTTGATAAAAGAGGAAAGTAGGTGTTTTTAGTCTTTATGTGCAGATCTATGGCATTTTTGTGGATTTACAGAGATTAAACTGTCAGACTTGGACAAAGTACTAGTGACTGATGAAATGGAAAGTCTGTTTATGTGAAATTACGGGCAGTTTGACTGGGCTTCCCTGCAAGTACTATGACAATGATGTGTTTCTGGGTGGACCAAGTCCCTCCTTAACCCAGGTACCAGGCTCTGTGCTTGCTACCAGGCATGTATGCCTGTGGAAAATGGCTTTCAGACAATACCTGTTACTTTGGGCCTGGAAGGATACTAGAAATCTTAGTGATGAAACTGTTCGGAACTCAAGTTTCCCAAGGGCTTCTGGTATTTGAGGCCTGTTTGCTCTGTGATATAAGAGCTGGATGCTAAAATGCTGGGAAGCAAATGGCCTGAGTTTCCTGCTCCTCTGGCCCTGGGGCTGCAAAGGGAAGCTGGGTCCTAAGAGCAAAGGACTGCAGTGCTCTGGAGCATTTCCCGCTGTGCTTCTGCCCAAGAATGTCTCTAAGCTTCCAGATTCTCAAGTGGTTGAAGTGTCTCCCAAGAGGGAGGGAGGAGGCTGAAGTGAAGGAGGCTACGCTTACCCTGCTGGTGATGCGTTCGAGTGCCACCCTAGTTTGCAGCTCCTGGTGCTGCAGTGTCTCGGCTTGGCTCTGGATCGCCTCTTGGGCCCGGTGCTGCTGGTCGATGTGGTATCGGTTGCTCAGAACCTCTGCCTGTAGCTGGCTGACTCTCCCTTCTAACTCACTGATCAGCTCATTCTGCTCAGCCAGTTTGGATTCTTGTTCTGCAACAACCTGAGGAGATACATAAACCAAGCTATTACAGTCAGGAAGAAAGCGAGTGGGCTTGGCCGCATCTTCCCAGTAGCTGGTCCAAACGCTTCTTGCATTTCCTGGGCAGAGTCTACAGACTAACAACCTTGCCAGTACTGGTAACCATTATTAATCCAGCAGTTCCAGAGAAAACACCAAGTGGGCTTTTTTATGTGGCAAACTCCCTCAAGCCTAAAACAAGCACAATTACGCAGATAATAAAAGGATTCTCTGTAGTGGCTTTGCACCAAGTTTACCTGTCGAAGACTGCAGTTCTCCTCCTCTATTGTCACCAACATTTCTTCATGTTTCAGTTCTTTCAGACTGCAAAACTTAAGAGAAAGTACTTTACAGTTCAGTTTTACAGCTCACAGGTGCACCTCCTGTCTATGAGGAGGGGAACTGCTGCACAAAGCCCCAATTCCCCGCTCCCAGCTCTCCTAACAACGATGCTTTCAGGGCTGTACCTTGCTAGTCATGGCTTGTAGCTGGTTTTCTAGCTCTCTGAGCTTCTTTTGGAGCATTTCCTTTTCTGATGTGGCTCTCCGAAGCTGGGATTCCTGGATCTCCAGTTGTCTTTGCAAGGAAGAGATGACACCTGTAAAGTTGGAGTACTACTGTTAAGCAGACCGAATCCCTGCCAAAAGCTTGATGGTTCCTTCTGTCTGTGGGAGCAGAGCTGCTGTTGTAACCCTCTGAGTATAGACCGTGGGTGAAGTTAGTGCTCCAGCCACAGGAACACTGGTTGCTGATCCATTTTGTCGTACTTTGCCGTGGTACCTATTAAACGTGATTGTGTGAGGACTAGTAGAGCCGGCAACTCGAGCACAGGTTTGCCAGAGCGCTGAAATGCTACTGGATGCCCTGGAACAGTGCTCAGGGCTGCTTCTGCTGGGTTTCCTCACGCGCTTCGCTTCTACAGGGAGAAGGTGGTTTCAAAACAAGTGGCATTTCAGCCTCGCTCGGTAAGCAACAGCGGAAGGCAGGAGGCTCTGCGCTCACAAGAACCTAACCTAGAATTTTTTCTAGATAAAAGGAGTGGAACGGCGAGAAGATGAACCTGGTGACTAGGACAGCAGGGTGTTTTCGGGACGCCTTCCCCCCAGGTACCTGTGGCCACGTTGCAGTCATCCCTTGCTTTCCGCAGTTCTTCGCGGAGCTCTCGGTTGGTTCCCTGGCCCTCGTTGAGCTCTGCCACCCGCAGCCCCCCCGGCGAGCCCGGGGCCGCTGAACCCCAGCTGGCCCCTTCCATCTGGGAGCAGGGTGAGCGCTCTGGGTGGGGAGAGGGGGCTCAGAGCTGGGGCTGGAGCTGCCGGGAAGGCGATCCGACCTGGGGGGGCTCGCTCGGGGCCAAGTGGGGGGGGGGGGGGGGGGGGGGGGCTTGCTTGTGACCTGGAGGGTCTCGCTCGGGGTAAACCAGGGGGAAAGGGGCTCACTCGGGGCAAACTGGGAGGGGTTTGCTTGGGACCCAGAGGGTCTCTGAGCAAACTGGGACGAGTTCGCTCGGGGCAAACTGGGGGGGGAGGGGGTTCTCACTCGGGGCAGAGCCGGGGAGGGGGCTCACTCGGGAACCGGAGGGTTTTGCTCGGAGCAAATTGGGGGGACTCGCGACCCTGAGGGTCTCGCTTAGGGCCAGGGGTGTATCGCTCGGGGCCGCCCGGGGGGGGAGGTGGGGGGGTGTCTCTCCCGGGGTCTCACTGGGGACTAATGGGGGAGGAGAAGGGGGGGTGTCTCTCCCGGGGTCTCACCCGGGGCCAAACCGTGGGGGTCTCACTCGGGACTAAGGGGGGGGGGGGGGGGGGGCGGGGGCGGGGGCGGAGGTGTCTCTCCCGGGGTCTCACCCGGAGCTAACCGTGTGTGTGGGGGGGTGTCTCGCCCGGTGCCGGGCCGCGCAGCCCCCTCCACCCGCCCGGGGCCGCCGGTTACCGGGCACCGAGCGGCACCTTCCGGTTCCGGGGTAGGGCCGGGCCGGGCCGTCGCCATGGGACGGAAGAAAAAGACGCTGCACGACTACGCGGCCGAGTTCTCGGAGCTGGCGGTGAAGCGGCACCTCCCGGAGCGGGGCCCGGCCGGGGAGGCGGCGGCGGTGGAGACGCTGTACTGCACCTCCTGCCAGCTGCCCATGCGGGTGCGGCGCGACCGCATCCTGGAGCACCTCTCCTCCGGCCGCCACTACCGCAACCGCCGCCTGCTCCGCCAGCACGGCCTGCGCGCCCCGCTGCTCCTGTGAGTGGGGGGGGCCCCTCCCCGCCGAGGGGTCCCGGTGCCGGGCGGGCAGGGACGGCCCGGCCTCTGCCCCTTCTTCAGTGAGGGAGAGCGGAGTTTCACCCCAACCCTCCTCTTTTTTTACCCAGCTCTGCAGGTCCAGACGTCGGCCCCAGCTTGCCCCTGCAGCTCGACGCACCCGCCCTGCTCTCCCAACCGTCTTTCATCCTCGCCGGCACCAGCACCGGCTACGGCACGATCCCCTCGCTGCCTTCCTACCCCAAGCTGCTGGTCCCCCAACGCCCCGTCGCCGGGGAAGACCCGATGCCCTCCGCCAGCCACCCCTCGGCCCTCGCCGCCTTCCCCCCGAGGATCACGCCTGCCCCCTCAAAGCTGGCTGCCCAAAGAGGGGCTGCGCCCGAGGCCCTCGCGGCGTCGGCCCCGCAGCACAGCGGCAGCGGCGTCGGCCTCGCCCTCTTCGGCATCGGGCTCGTTAATAAAGCCCTCTTCCAAAGCCTGATGGAGGAAAGCGGCTGCTGCTTGCTGTACGTCGTGGAGGACGGGCTGGAGGAGGTGCAGCACGCCTTCGGCGCCGAGTTCCTGGCCGGCACCAGGGTGCTGCGGCAGCAGGACGCCGACGTCGCGCTCAGCGACCAGCGGTACTGTCCGCCGCTACCTCCCGTGCCTGCCTGCTCCCCGCCGCGAGGCTCGGGGCCAGTCTCTCCGTACCACCCTTGCTTTCCTCTCTGGAAAATGCCGCTGCGCCGTAGCAGACCCAGACCGTGCTGGTCGGGGAGCCGTACCCAGACCATGTGGGAACGGAGCGAGACCGAGGGGCCGTTACAGGCTCAGCCCCATGTAGCGTGTCATCCACCCACAGGTGCTTTGGAAGTCCCCGAGAAGCTTAGCTTGACTCATGTACCCAGAATCAACGGAAACTCGGAGGAGTTTAGTTGCAGGCAGTTTTGTTAAACATAAAACCCCCTTATTTTCTCCCGTTCCCATAGAGCAATAACCACTACGCTTTCCGGCTGCCTACCAGTTCTTCTGCCTCAGAGCAGCTGGCTGACTTTGGTGGTTCTTTTGAAACTGAGAAAAGTGAGGATTGCTGTAAATAGGAAAGATTGTGGCGTTTTGCTTTACAGTTGAACTGAACGAGTAACATGTAGTGATGTGGTTACAGTCAGTTCTCAAATTGGTATTGTAAATATCATTGCAAAAGTGGAAGGCAGAGCTTTTAAGAAAGTTGGATTTGATATTTGAAACTAAAGAACAGTTATAAGCTAAGTCATACTGATCACTTGTTCAGCAGCTCTACCACATAAATACTTTCGATTTCACTGCGTGTGTTACCTAGCCTGATTTAATTAGTTTTCGAAGGACACATTTAATAAGACTTGCTCCTCTAAAATGCAGGAAAAGCAATGCAATTCATCATGCCACTTGTGATTTTAACCTATGTATGTCATCCCATACTTCATCCTTGCAAGCAAGTACCAAGTTCCTTTTATAACATAACTTGCTCTTCCAGAGCAGTGGAGTTTTATGTCTTTTTTTAAACTCTTCCTCAAAGTTTAAGGTGGCTGTCATAAAAATAACTGTAACTGAAAGGAGCTTTTGAGCCTTGGTCATTCTAGTAGAAACCTTGTGTTCACTGAAGCTCTTTCTTTCGACTTCTGCAGAGTCTCTGGAGCCATTATTTGTTTGCCACCTGAAGAAGCCTCCAAGATTGTAATAGACGCTTTACGAGCGGGTAAGAGGAACAGCTGAGAATTCAGCTTTTGTCAGTAGTGAGCAGCACACGCAGAGGCAGACCCTGAATGCTTGCTAAACACTTTCCAGGGGAGCACACCTTCTCGTTTCAGCAGGGTCCCTTGAGTTGTGCAGACTGTCTAATTACGTAATGAAAGAGAAATTAGTCTGCTGATGACACTGATGTCAGTGGCTTAACACCAGTGGATTTTGTAGTTTGCACTGTGCTGGTGCCATGCGGAGTGTCCAGCCCTAGAAACAGCACTGGGACCGTCTCTCAAAACAGTCACAGTTCTCAGGGTCTGTAACCTGCTAGTAAAGCCATGGCCAGATTGTGTAAAACTGCAGCCAGGGGCCAGAAGGGAGTTAGTAGCATCAACAAATAAAAAGCCATGCTTCGGTTTCATCAGATATACTTTCTAGAGTGTAATGATGTGTATGTTACTGCAAGATAAAAGCGTTTTCTGCAGACTGTGTCTTGCCTTCAATCCTGCGTTCTGTCCCGTTTTGCACAGGAAAAGGTGTGTTTTGCGAGAGGCTGCCCAGTTTTGACAGGCAGACGGCAGAAGCTTGTTTTGATGAAGCTGACAGATGTGGGAGACCGTTGGTGTGTGGATTCTACAAGTAAGACCAGTATTTTTCTTTTGATTTGTACTGGATAAGAAGCACGTGTCTGAAAGCAGTGTTGATTCCTCAGGCTTTCCTGAATTTGTCCTCAAATAAACTTAGTTTCAGTGCTGCTTGTTAACGTTGTTCATCTGGGCGTTAATTGGATTGGATTAATTCTTTATGCTTAATGGAGATAAAATCTTCCTGTCATGAGATTAAAATAAATGTTCACTTGAATGGATGCTAGTGGGACTCAAATGATGAAGCTTTCAAGATGTGAAAGCTCCATGTTTTTCAGAATGGCCAAAGGCAGCTGGGGTCCACGTCCCTGCAGTCCTTTCGAGGTTTTGCAGATGCTACAACTGGTTGGAGCTTCAGAGAAGGAAACGTTCTGACGGTGCTGTGAGGCGGTTTCTTGGCCTATAGTTTTAGGATGTTTTTTGCTCCTGGTTTTTCAGGGATGTGCAACCCCCAGGTCTGGCCGATCTGTGACTTTATGAAGCGTCCAGCTCCTGAGATCTGCTTTTCACTGCTCTGTTGGAAAGCATTGAGCTTGCGACCCTGGTCAGTCTCATAATGCCCCGTGACATTGAACTTTGCTCATGTATTAGACTTCCATGTGAAACTTCTGCCCGTATGTATCGTACTTCTGGATCTGAGGGTAGCTGCCCTTTTTGTGCTGTTGCGCAGCTTTGTTGTAGTAAACCAGGAATGCCATTGGAAGAAGGCAGTGAATTAGCTGTGCTCTTTAAAATAGCAGAGAAAAAGGCTGCTCTACGAGTATATTTTCGTAATATTGAAAACTCTTCCTTTTTCTGTAACTTTGTTGTATTTTCACTGATTTGCTAATTATATTTTGTACTTACTGGGATGATGCTGATCCTGTGAAATGTAAATACGTGTGTTAGCAAGTATTAGTGAAAGCTCAGAGTAACTCTTCAACAAAAGAACAAGCGACCTTTTGAAGTTCCGTTTAGAGCACTGTCACCAGAGACATGCCAACCCCATCCAGTCCTTACCTTTCTGCTCAGACTGAATTTCCAGACACAGGTCTGCAGAGAGCTGTGCTGTACCTCTGGCTTCTTTCTTATACCTTTGGAAGGGATGGTGCTTGAGGATTATTAACCCTGAGGATTGCAAACTGTGTGGCCATGAAAATTCCACTTGATATTAGAGTTGCTGGCCTATCCGATAGGAATAGATTTATTAATCTTTATAAAGTAATATTTCCACTTGTGACCTTACATCTGGACCCTTAAGATTAAATAATTGAAACAAAAGGACAGTAGATTAATTTTAATTCACTTCTGCTCTGTTAAACTTGGGGTAACTCAGGGAGCTTTGCTGAAAGCCACGAGTGCTGCTTTAGACTTGTGCTCAGTGTTTAACACTGTAAGCTGAGTGCATGTGGATTGTTAGTAAACACGGGATTGTTTTGTGCTCCTCTGCTGAGAACAGTTAATTTCATTGCAAATAAAACTTACTTGGACAAACAGGTCTGTATTTCATATACGCTAATAGGTAATTAGAGCACTATCTGCCCTAATATTTGTCTTCTCCATTTGAGTGCTGTTTGTACAGGTCTGATCCCAGCCATAAGGTCAAACCCACCGAGGGTGTGGTTGACACTCAGGTGAATATAAATGTGTAGGTAGGGCTCTAAGGAGAACTGTAGGTAATTTACTGGACTTTTAATTGCTTTTAGGTCCCCATAGTTTAATTTCACTTAAGTTGTTAGTTTAAGTCTTCACAAGTGCAGCTATTGGGCTCGGTTGCAAGAAGCCGAATTCATAGACAATAAGCGGCTGAACTGGGGAAGCTGTGCCCAGCCCTGTCCGCCCGGTGAGGCTGCATCTGCCTGCCGTGCTCTGCCCTCGGCCTGGCACCAGCGGCCTGGGCCGCTTCCTCCTCCTCCTCCTCCTCCTCTCCCAAACTCTGTACCCCATTCTGGGTTTCTCTTGGAAGGCGCTTCGACCCCGCGCTGCAGTTCCTGTACCAGAAGGTCCGCGACAGCCAGGCGCTGGGGAGGATCCACCGGATATCGACCACCAGCAGCATCTACCCAGCGGCGCCGCTGGGCTTCCTGAAGACTTCAGGTACTGAGCAGCCGGCTCCCGACAGCTTCCTTCGGCAAGGACTGGACGTGTATCCTGCCCCGTGGTCTGGCGGCAAGTCCTCTATGTTTGTGTAGCCCTAAGATGCACGGGTTTTCTTTTGAGGAGCGTTTTCTTTACCAGTCTATTTTTGTTGCATTTTTCTGTTTGCTTTTTAGTATTAGCCTCTTCGATGTAAGGGGCTTTTTATATCGATCTCAGTCCAGTTCAGAAATGTACATTGACTGTGGGTTTTAAATATGGAGACCTTAATGCCCAGTTTTGCTTCTTCCAGGTGGAATTTTTTATAATGCTGCTGTGCATGACATAGATATTGTCAGTTTGTTATTGGGGGAGAGTGCACCGGATACAGTATTTTCACTGGGACATGCATTCTGTGCAGGTAAGAATACATCTTTTGACAGTTTATTGTGTACCTCTGGACTTCAGTACTAAAATTGGGAAGAAAGAGTGTATGAGAGCATGGTAGCCATGACATAATTGTTCCATCATAGAACAGCTGAAAAAATAGTCTAGTGAAGTAGAAGGCAGGTTTCTCGAGAAGTTGTTGTAGACAGGATATTTAGTGATGATTTCTGAATTTTGTCAGAAAATCCCCACTGATGTGAAGTGGTTGCTGTAGAGGTATCCCTGAGCTCTGTATGGCAAGTGAGGGATATCAAGTTTGCCATTTGCAAACCAGAGTGCTGAAAACAATGAGCAAAGCTTGGTGCTTACAGGAATGTCAGTGCAGTCTTTTTCAGCTCTTTGCTTTCTCCAATTTCTCTGGCACTTCCCTGTTGATCTCAGCAGAGATGTGAATTTACTCTGGATTGTGCCAAGCTGACAGGCACGCTCCGGGTTACCAGACTAAATTTAACCATAAAACTGGAAGCTGCCATTTTTTAAGTGGAAATGCAAAGTTTTAATTAAGGTAATTGCAGCTGCTGCCTACCTTGGCTGGCTGCTAGTAAGTGTAGTATGCAATGTTATACCCTACGGTAAAGCATTGAAATGCCACAAACAAAACACCCCAGGGAGGATTTTGTACCATCTGCCTCGTTCTAGCTACGTGCTGGAAGTTGCCTGATCTGGGTTGTCATAAGCAGCAGGGGCAGATGTGTTTGGAAGAAGAAGTGGAAGCCTTTAGGGAGGGCCACGGGCTGGGAAGGTGGAGTTGAGGCCCCGGGGCTGTGTGTTTCTGCAGAGCTTGTCGCTCTCCATCAGAAGCGCCGAGAAAGGTGAACCAGCCTGTGAACGGTGCAGGACGCGCTTCGCTGCCGCCGCCGCTGCCCGACCGAAGGGACCGCGGAGCCGGTGCCGCCGCACGAAGGAAGAGCAGCGCTCTGTCGGCCTGGTTCCTGCTGTGCCTGGTGTGAGCGAGCGCCTTTTTTGTCACTCAGATATGGCCTGCTTGAAGGATGCAGACGCTGTAGCGGTCAGCATGAAATTTCCTAGCGGAGCGATCGTTACTTTGGACGTCAGTCAGCACTGCACCAAATCCTGTGAGCAGAGACTAGAGGTGCGTTCTTCCCCCGGGGCCCGGCCCGGCTCCAGCTTCACCCGCACGTGTTGGCGTGGGGCGGGGTGCAGCAGCCGCGCCTTCCCCAAAACGCCTCTGTACCTCGGCAGCAGTGCGCTGCTTCTCTTTGTTTAATGAGCAACCCGCTTTCTCCTTTATTACCCGAATTTCTGCCTCTCTCTGCGTGTGTTCTGCCAGGGTTACGAGCTGCATGCTGTCATCCTAGAGCAGGAATCGGTGTCAGCTCTCCTGAGGCTGAAATGTTGCCGCACAGTTCATTTGTTGTCTTCCCAGGGTGTTTTTAGGTGTATAGGACACCAAGAGTTAAGGATTTTAAAGGGGAGGAGCAGCATAAACTCAGAGGCAAATTGTCTGTAAATTCCTAAAGCCGTGAATTATAACAGATGCGTGGGCTGGATGTGGGGAGTAATATGTTAAATACTCAAAACAGGAATTTTGCTCAGGTGGAAATAAAAAAAAAAAGTGGAGGTATCACGTAAGCGGAAGCCACTGTACTACAGCCTGTAGCTGGTGATTTCTGTCATGTCTCATCCATACGAGGGGGTATGTCAGTGGTAACTCCTAATTTTAGAAGCTGCTTTCTTCTTGGTTGTAGGTACCAGGGTTTCTGTAGACTAACCAGGTGTTTAAGATCAAAAACATGATAACGTAGAAACGTTGTTCTCTTTCCTGTTTGCTGCCTTCCCTGCAGGTTCATGGTTCCCAAGGGACATTACGGGTGGATAATCAGAATCCCCTGGGGATTACGGAGCACGGGACTTCGGTATCCCTGTATTCACAGACCCAGGCCGATCGCTACCGAGATGCACACAGGGAGCTCTTCCGACACTTTCTGCGAACGCTGAGAGGTAGGACGAAGCTTCCACTGGCGGCTGGCGCAGCTTTTGATTTGCTTTCAGCGAACGCTTCCCTCGGAAGCTGTTCCAAAAAGCAACTGCGATTCGGTGTTTGCGGCCGAAACCCCGAGAAGAAACGAGTAGGTGTGAAACCTGGGAGTGAGATTCGTCGCGGTTCAGATTAAGGCAGCGTTGTGCAGGTGATGGGCGAGCTCCCTGTCAGCACAGGCGGGCTCCAGGGGCCGCCCCGACAGGCGCTGGGTGTTCTCAGGGGACGCGTGTTGAGCAGCCGCCGAAGGAGCTGGGAGTTCGATGGAAGCGCAGGCGACTCGCCCTGTTTCGGTACATGGAAAGGAACGAGCCCGCTTCGGGGGGGGGGGTGGGGGGGCGCTCCTTTCCTCGCTTTGGCGTCGGTGGGGGGGGCGGGGGATGGAGCGTTGATCTGAAACTCTGCTCGGAGAAGAAATTAAAATTGGGAGGGAAAATTACGTCGGACCTTACTGTCATTTGTGAAGACAGCGGCCGCTGGTAATGGCAAGGAGACCCTCATCTAGAGTCCCGGCTGCCCAGAAGGTATAAAAATATTTGTTTTGCTGGCTGTATTGACAAAAAGACAGGATTTTAGTCACAGGGCAGGAAGGAGAAGGGGCTGAAACTTTCTTTTTAAAATCTGAGGCCCCAGCTCAGGGAGCTGAAGAGGGGAGGCCGTGGTGGGCAGTGATGTGCCGAGAGGCAGAGCCAGTGACAATACGGTTTCATGCAGTGCTTCACTCCTGTCCCTGCAGGCAAGGAACCCCCCGTGATAACCAAAGAGCAGTTCCTCGGGACGATTCAGGTCGCTGCAGCTGCGGAGCAGTCCTGGAGAAACGGATCCGCTGTGGACTTGCGCAACGAAGCGACGGCTTCGTCTGTGGTCAAGACTGAGATAATGTGATGGGCGCTGCTGCTTGCCGAGGTGCAGGCTGCTACGGCAGGGTCTTTCCACCTAGCGACGTCACCACTGTCACCTTAAAATAAGTCTCGTGGTTTTGACAACCCCGTGGGGGGTGCCCAGGAGACGGAGGCGCTTTCGAACCCGAAGCGCTCGGTGCTGAGGCTGCGCGTCGGCCAGAGCCCCTGAGAAACTCCGGGCGGTTTCACCCAGGTGGCTTTTTCCTCCTGGAGAGCTGTGCTGGCTGGGGAGCTGTTTTCCTGGGAGAAGAGCGCTGCTCCTGGGGCCGTGGTAAGGCGGGGCAGACCCCCCCGCCCCCGCCTGGGGTGATGGGAACGGTGCGAGCGGGCGCCTTTCCTGGCAGCTCCACGAGCGAGATGGTGAAATGCCCCAAAATACAGGAGAGTCCCTCTGGCCCCTGCTCATTTCCCAGCAGTATGTGCAGGAATGGGACTGAGCTCGCCTCTGGGCCTCCCATTTATTGTTTTGTTTGTTGGTTTTACTTGGTTTTCTAAACCTTTTTGAAAAGAGGTTATGACCTCATTTTCTTGGGAGGTGAGGAAAAGAAGGAAAAGCAGGGAGGGAGACCTCCGACATCCCTGATGTTAGAGAGACAAGAAACTTTGTAGTAAGACCAGAAGCGAAGGCTCTTCCGTGGGGGAGCAAGGCACTTGGGCGTGTCAGTAGTCAACACTGCATTTTTAAAGGGTTTTTTCAGAATGCAATCTGTGAATTTGTACAGGGGCCCCGTGCGACATCTGTTACCGGGACACGCGGCGGGGAGGTGGGTTATCGGCACCCGGGCTGAGCGCTGGGGCGAGGGAGCTGCCTGCAGGCTGTGGTTTTCCTTAAATGCAAATGTGTGTGAACGTTTTAGCAGCAAACAAACCGATAATCGCGTTCTTTGAGTGTAGGAAGGGCATCTGATTGCATATTTTAAATGTATTTTTTCTTACAGTCCAGCTGATTTTGGAACACACAGCACAGAAAAAGATAGTGCCTTCAACAACAGGCGAGTCTGCTTTTAAAGCAGGTTCCTTGGACCTTCTCAGTCTTGTCTCGAGCTCACTGCAGACCTGTGGGTTTGACCGTTCCCATCTGTTTCTCACACGCCAGTTTTCAAGATCTTTTGAAAGCTTTTTTTATTGCATTAAAATGACATTCTTGCCTTGAGTTCACAAACGACACTTCTTGCAAGATTCTTTAGTTCAATCGATTCCCAGTTCCCACACATGGAATGTATATCACTAAAACTAGAAATAGCGGTGGCATTTATAACTGGAGACAATTCTCTCATGGAAATTGGTTTTAACGGTGTAATTTTTCAAACTCAGAGAAGCTATGTCTTAACGATAAAGATCGCTATCAATTTAATTCTCAGTTGGTAGTCATTTATTGAAAATGGAAGCTTTTACCTAGAAAGAAGTAGGCACTTGCCGCTCTGTAACCCCTGCAGCCGTTCATCCACTGCAGGCGGGTTTCTGCCGGGGGGACGCCCCGGGGCGGTTTGTCCCGACGGCTGGAAGGGCCGAGGGGCTGGATGGAGCAGAGCGGCTCGGACCCGCCCGGGGCAGCCGCTGGCGCAGGAGGACGCTTTCTGTACAACGGAAGCGAGATTTTAGCTGCCAGACGTTGCGATTCCCACATGTGCTTGTGTAGTGGTACGGAAAGAAAAAGGAGAAACCACAACTATAAAAATAACGTGTTTTCCCAAGGTAATGTTACAAAAAACCACCGTTCGTGCCATGTTGGAGTGTGTGGGTTAATACTGCCCGAAGAAGCCGTAGTTAACGTGGAAAACGTGAATGATTGTTTCAAAACCTTTAAAGCATTAAGGTGCTTTAATCAGCTGTTCTCTGAGGACAGAGGTTCGCATTTCGGCGACGCCGAAGGAGCGGGGCTGCCGGTTGGTGTGGTGCGGAGGGGCCTCGAGGGAGAGGAGGCCCCGTCCCGCGCGCCAAAGGCTCGGAGCTGCTCGGGGACCCCAGGAGGACAGCGGGAGGAGCTGGGGGGGCACGTCCGGAGCTGGCGCTGGTTTTCCCCCCCTGATCCTTCACTTGGGGACAGACGCTGGGCTGGTGGAGGCGAAGGGGCGTCTCGGGTGAGCCCTGGTGGGACTTGAGCTCTTCCCTCGCTCCCCGGGCTTTGCGCAGGGTTCCCTTGCTCCCGCCCAGCCCCGGGGAGGGGGGTGGTGGCTCTGCCCCCCCGGGGGTCCCCATCGCAGGGGAGATGCAGCAGTGGCCTCTCAGGCTGCCCAAAATCTCGAGCGACCCAAGGTTGAGGGGGCAGAGGAAGCAGCTCCCTCCCGCCCCTGGTGCTGGGGCAGCCTCTGACGCGCCCCGGGCCTGCCGGGGGACGTCACCTTCTGAAACCTGCAGCCACGAGTGGGGCAGGGAGAGAGGGAACGCGCCTGCCTGTCTCCTTGCTCTTCTGCTGAGGTTTTTTTTTTTTTGTTTTTTTTTTTTTTTTTTTTTTTTTTTCCCAGCCTGAATCAACAGACAAATTACGCCTGGAAAAAACGACCAGAAACAGAAAACAAAACTGGAAAGACCTCACATGCTCACCTAGTCCAAAAGTCCTAGATCCAAAGTTGGATCAAATTTACACCTCCCACGTTCCTGCTCGCTAGCTCTAACCCGTCTGCAAAACCGCCCCAACGGAGCAGGGGGGGATTATCCAGACCTCTGACTTCCCGGGAGAATTCGCTCACTTGCCCCCTCCTCTGCAATTGTGTGGAAGATATTCAGAGGAGGGAAAAAAAAAAAAAAAAAGAATTTTTAATAGATAAGGCTGGAGACGTGATTTTCCGCATGTTTACATGCTAGAACATGAAATTAATTTACTTGATACTACAGTGTCTCAGGAGTAAGTATCAATTTTTATAGCTTACATGAAAATAAATCTTTTTTTCTCCTTACAGCACAATGTGTATACTGTATGTACATTTGCTTCTGTTTATATACACAAATACTTAAGTACGTGAACACACCGGGAACTGACAAACAGCTGCTTTTCTGCTCTACAGAGAACGGAAGGGAGCGGGGACGTTTTGGCAGTTCGTCAGGAAAGCGGATTGTGGTGCTTTGCATCAGTCACTGACATCATCTGTCCAGAAAAGGGAACGGGTGAGGGCTCAGTCCTTGTTACAGTGATTGAGACCTGTCGGATTCGGGCACCACGGCGGGTACGGATCGGGGTCGGTAAGCAGTACCGAAGGCTGCTCTCCCGAAGAGAAAAGCCTGCCGTCTTTTCGCCGCGCCCGCCGGACGCGCGGCTGCTCCAGTCAAACACAAACCAGCCTGAAGCACCGGCAGGTGCCTCCCGCGCCGCGGGCAGGCAGCGAACCCGCGCGGCTCGGTGGGCTGGCTCAGCCGCCCTCCTCCTCCTCATCCTCCTCCTCATCCTCCTCCTCCCTGCTGCCGCCGAAGCCACTGCGGTTTCCCCTCTGGGGCTGGCGCCTCCTGCGCGGCTCGGGGCCGTGCTTTCACACACAGCTCACAGTTCCCCTCCAGACAACAAAATTACACTTTTCCAGACGCCCAAGGCGGAAAATATCTTTCACAGGGGGTTTCATTTCCCCCAGGTCTCTTGCTGCTGCCTCCTGGAGACCCTCAGTTGATCTCTCCCTCCGTGAATTCTTCCTTTATGGACTGTTTGCGAGATTTGCAGTCCGGGAGGTCGAACCCAAAGTCTGCCCACTCGTCGGCCCCGCCGCGGTTGGGGATGGTGATGGTGTGGCGCACGCGGAAGTGCACGGCCTCCATCACGCGCTGCCGCTGAAGCTCGCCCGAGCTGCCGATGGAGATGGTGGAGGCGTTGCTGCTGGAGCGGATGAGCTGCTGGGCCCCGTAGTCGTGGCTCTGTTTGAGCTCCTGCAGACCTCTCCAGATGATCATCCTGTACTGCTCCGGGATCTTCAGTGCTCCGAGATCCTGGAAGAACAACACGGCTGAGGCGGAGCCGGCGGAGACGCGACTGCACCGGCAGAAGCGAGCCCTGGAGCCCCGAGCTTGTGCTTTGGGGGGCACGATGCCCAAGCACGCCGCGGCGGGGGGCTGGACCTCCCCTGGGTCACAGCACCAGGCCCCTGGGTGCATCCCCCACGGGCCATTTCTCATTTGTAACCAACAGCCCGTTGACCAGTTACTCAAACACAGCTTGGCAGGTTAGACCGTTTTTTTTTTTTTTTTTTGATCTCTTTTTTTGGGGGGGGTTCGGGTTCACATGAAACTGATGTGGAAAGAGGAGCGAGGGGGCCTCTCCCCTTCAGACGCAGGTTGCGGAGCAGCGTGTGAAGCGTCCTCACATCTGCTCTCCGGGGCGAGGAGCCGTCAGCGGGGCTGGCTTCTCCTCACCCCGGCGTCACTAAGGCACCGAGCGGGGCGTCGCAGGTGCTACGACACCGAGGGCTGCAGTTGTAAAGCCAAACGAGGTCAAAAACCTCAGGACTGGGGGGTCTGCAGCAGAGCGAACACTGTCATAGCGGAGAGCTGCCAGAGATCCATGTTAATGCCAAACACAGAGACTCGTGGGTGTTAACTAGAGAAGACAGCGACTATGCAATTAGTAACTACAAACGCCGACTCGGACAGACAGCTCAGCGATCTGGTACAAGTTTTGGCCATACCAAACGTTTCCTTTGACAGTTTACAGACGGTCACGGAGTTAGTTCAGAAAACGGTCCAAAACCAGGCTAAGGTTACACAACTGGCCCCAGCTACCAATGAAAAATCATCGTGTCTCCAACAGCCGCATCACCAAAGCGCGGTCGCGTGTTTTATTGCAGCTGCCGGGCAGACGACAGCTACTGCAGCCTGCCTGGGGCAGAGCGGCAGCGGGGCAGGAGCTTTGCCTCAGCCAAAGCACCAACTCCGGGACTTACAGGGTTTGCTGTGGCTCAGAGGGCTTAAGATTATCTTTTTTTTTCCTTCCTTTCTTCTCGTTACCCTGCCGGGCTGGGGAAGCCCCTGCTTCAGTGCTGCCCTCGATCCCGTCACCGGGAATGGCAGCAGCAGAGGGCTGACAAGCTCAGGTACTTCTAGCATCCTGTCTACTATTTTCATGCCAGCTTTTGCCTGACCTGGGCTATGTGATTCCAGGGTTCCCTTAACACAAATCTCCCGGGCTTGACTCCCTTATTTCAGCCTCTCTTGTCTTTAACGGGAAGACGCCAGATCCATTGAAAACTCGCTGGACTGCAGTGGTGGTGTTCCTGCTGGCTCGGTGGGCTTTGGGTGGTTTTGCTGAGCACCTCAGCCGGTTTTTCTGTGTTAGGTGGAAAATCTACCTGAGGTCTGGTCTGGGGATCTTTTAGCTCTTTTGTTTGTGACAGTCTGGAAGAACCAATTGGGACTATTGTGGTTGCTACTGATGACTGAGCTACCGGTAAATCCAAAGGACCAGAACAGATGTGTAAAGGGAAGGCAGAAACCCAGGGCAGCATATATTCTGGGTGGCGGGTTGGTGCACAGTTTTCCCTTTCTTTTAAAACAGTTTTGTCCTTGCTTTTTAGATCAACGGCTGATAGAAACAAGTGGTAAGAACAGATCTTCCCAAAGCATTTACCTCTATGGATAGGTTCTGCAGGTGGTAAATATTCTGTAACCCTTGTGAGGTGAAATAGTCGATGCAGTTTGGACACCCCAATCCTGTTAAAAAACTGCAGAAAAAATTTGGAAAATAAAGTGGCATTAACTTCTCATGAACAAAAGCTGTGCTCATAACCCTCGCTGCAGCAGCAAAGCGTGTCTGAGGTCAGTGAGGAGGTGGGGGGCTGCAGGGGGGCTGCGCTGAGCCCCTGCTGCCCTGGCCCCCCAGTGCCCCCCAAGCACCCAGGGGCGGCGGGCAGGAGCTGGGGGTGCTGCCGCTGCTCGGGCCGCTGGTTTGGCTGTGGCTGTTGCCTTGCCACTCATGTCAAAGTGAAGCATGTGATGTTGTTCATTCCTAAAACTACTTTTTTTTTTTTTTTTTTTTTTTTAATTTTTCCTGATTATCAGAGGTTTCAGCTGAACTTGGAATCACCTGGGGAGGGAGAGGCGGCCAGGCCGTGCTGGGGGCGGCAAGGCTGGTCTGCAACGTGCAGGCTGGTGGGGCTGGGGGTATTTTGCACGTCACGCTGGGCTGCAGCTACGCGCCTCTAGCTGCACGTACGGCCTCCCTGGCTTCCGTGGGGCGGCTCTCAAAACGTCTGTGGTCTTTTTAAAGACTGAAACATTAAAAAGTGGCTGCGGACCCGTTAATGCCTTCCTGACGGCAATAAGCCGTGGGGAGCAATTTCCAGACGCTGCTGGTAAGGAGGGGGAAGGGGCGTGTTTGCAGAGCTACGGGCCAGTTTGACGTGCGGGAAGAGCCTCTCGTCTGGATGCACTGAATTTTTAATTGAGCAGGGACAGATTACGCAGGTAGAGGTATGTGAGGGCAATAGAGGTTTCTGACTGGTAGGTAGCTGGGCTTTAGTTTCTGAGATGAGAAGGATGGTCTATGTGATTTCGTGAGCAGTGATTTCTCAGTTGGGACCAGTTGCTAGACAGATCTGAAGGTTAGAGTGCGGGACAACAGCGAGAAACATCAGAGGACAAGACAGCGAGGGCGTCGGACGCGTTCCCTACCTGACGAGGCTGGGATCGGGGTTGTAGGGCGGAGGGGGGGTGCAGTGTGATCCGGACACCATGGACTGGGACGAGTGGCCCCCGTTCATCTCTCCGTTGGGCTGCATGGGGTGGCTGTTCAGCATCCCGGGTCCTGGGCCGCGGCCGTGCCGGGCGCGACAAACAGAGCCGTTAGGCATCCCCCCCATGCGTGAGAACCACCCGCGCCCTCGGCAGCCAGCCGCGGCTGCGGCGCCAGCCCCTTACCCACGGGCCCCAGGCTGGGCGTGGAGCTGGAGCTGTGCTGCGCTGGCTGCCCCACCAGCTGGCTGACGGAGGGCAGCTTGTTGATGCCGCCGCCGCCGTGAACTTTGTTCATGGGCGAGAGGACGGGACCGTAGGAAGAAGGCGTCTGCAGCTGACTCCTGCCCGGGGAAGCCAAGCGGATGTTCAGCCTGAGTGGGGGGGGGATGGAGCCACCCTGCCCTGGCCCCCCAGCTCCCCTCCGGCCCGTTGGATTTTCCTGCTGAGGCCCCAGCCCTTGCTAAGGGCCAGGCGTTCCGCAGACGTGCTGGGAGCCGGTGACCAGCCCCAGACTGGGGCTGCTGGGGGGGTTTTCCGTGGGCTCCGGCCGTACTTACTGCCTCTGCAGAAGCTGCTGCTGCTGCTGCCGGTAAGAGTCAACCAGCTGCTGCGGGACCAGCTCCACCAGCTCCAGGCTCTCCTTTATCTTCATCAGGATCTCAAAGTTCTCCCGGCCTCGCACCTGGAGGAGGGAACAAGCCCAAGGCTTTGCTTTGTTCCCCTCCCACCTGGCCACTTTCCTCACGGCCCCGTTTTTCCACCCGGCCACACAAGGTGCTGTGTCACTGTGGCCAGGGACTCTTTGGGGGTCCAGGACTCCCCTGGACACGTGCGTTCATAGATGCTTTTGCTCCTCTTCTCTAGGTCTCTGCTCAGCCCACGCGCCTGCAGCTCTGCGGACACGGTACAACCCCCTCCCGCCCACCATCGCGCCCCAGGGCCTTTCTCACAGAGGGGACAATGCAGCTCACCAACACTTACAGGCACGTAATACATCTCCTCCTCCCCGTGCCTCCGTTTCTTAATGCTCGTCCCCAGTGCTGGGATGCCCTGGGGGCTCTGCTTGAATGCTGGAAAGGAGAGAGGAAGAGCGTTGGCACGCAGTCCTCGGGAGGGCAGGACACAGCTGGGAGCTCCTCGGCTCCCTGCAGGATTTAAGCTCAAGCCCCGCAGGATGCTAGCGGCTCACCCGGGTTCTGGCCCCTTCATTAGGGATAATAACGAAGAGCAGATGTATCTGGATGTGAAACCACAAAGAGCTTTGCACTCTGGAGGGAAAAGGGAGTTGGGTCCTATTTATGAGACTTTAGACTTGGTCAGGAAAGGTCAAGGTGTCTGGCCTGGGTGTGGATCTGAGCCCGCCCTCCTGGAGCGCAGTGATTTCGGGTGCAACGGGAAAGGGGCTGAGGCAGAAGCAGCCACTTAGCTTTGAGCGGTGAGGGGGGGTGGCAGTGCCCTGAGCCCCCCCCCCGCCCCCGGCGAGGGGACTCACTGCGTTTGTTGGCGTTGCCGTTTTTAGCTGCGCTCTCGTTCAGGGCCTGTTGCTCTCGGTAATGGTCTTCATCAGCTTTGCGGTCTCTGCCGGGACAGGCGCAGATCCGTCCCTCGAACGATCTCCTTCCTAGGACCTGGCCGCTGGGAGGAGAGAGAAATTGGTGACCCTATTTCTGCTTGGGAAGCGCATCACAGCGCGGTCCAGCTCCGACCCCAGAGCAGCGCCGTGCCTTCCCCTCCTGCCGTGGGGAGGGATTGCTCGGGAAGCAGACGAGCCCCCAAGGGACTGAGCGCAGGGAGCCCCCCAGCAGCCGTTTCAGGGAGGAAGAGGAGCTCCTGGGGCAGAGGAAGGCTCCAGCTGCAGGGGGAGAAGCCAACATTGGGCTGCGCTCCCGGTCGCTCTGTGCCAGCCCTTTTTCTAGCCGAAAGAGAAGAGCTTTTCCACTGCCTCGGGCTGGGGCTGCCCTGTCCCCGTCCCCTGGGGGTGCTCCCTGCAGGGGACAATCCCTTCCCGAGGGCCCCCAGCCCTCCCGCAGCAGGGAGGGACACCCGACCCTGCTCCGACAGCCACTCACTCTCTCGTCTCCAGGGTGATGATGATGAGGATGGGCCTCCTGTTCATCCCTCCCACGCAGCTGCTGTTGCACATGAAGTTGTACAGGATGGTGGTGAACTCGGTCCCCACCTGCCCAGGAGGGGAGAGCAGGCGCTGAGCGGGGAGCGATAGGGGGAGGCACCTTGGCAGGGCAGCACCTGGGCCGGGCGGTGTGGGGGTGGTCCCAGCTGGGACGTGGATGAGGACTGTGGGGGCCCCCAGGGCAGGACTGGAGGGGATGTCCCTTTGCACCCCACTTCCCAGGAGCGGGATGCTCTGGGACGCTTCACCAGGCTGGGAGCTGCAGGTGCTGGAACATAGCTGCTGCCGGCACGGGGAGCAAGCAGGGGGTGGCCTTAGATGTGGCAGGGCAAGCAGGACGCTCCTGCCCTTTGTGTCCCCCCAGGCAGCCCCGTCCCCAGCGGGTTCACCCGCAGCCCCAGCAGAATCCTGGCGCGAGGCAGGGGCTGGTCCTGCCCCCCCACCCCGGGTGCAGCCGGGTACCTGCGGGGGCTCGTAGGGCACCATCACGCTCTGCCTTCCAGTCACAGGGTCATCCACGTACTGGGAGAGGTTGTTGCCCTCCACCCGGATGAGGTGGCTGGCCGGGGCTGCCTGGCCTGCAAGGCAAACGGCCGCGTTAGGGGACGCGGCTGCGCGGGACGCGCGTCCCCGGGCGCACGGGCAGCGCTCACCGTCGTTGAAGTCACGGCCGAGCTCATGGTTGGGGCAGCGCTTCACCACTTCGGTGACGTGCTCTGCCTTCTTGTAGACGGGCATGGCCCGGATGATGGTGCCCGGGGGCGGCGGCGTGGACACCTTCATCTGGATGGGACATGTTTTTGCAATCTGACAGTAGAGTTTCTTCAGCAGCGGGGAGTACTGGAAAAGAAGAAGCGCCGATGAGGTGAATGTCACTGGGCTCGACAGGGTGGCGGAGGCTCCCCGGCCTGCCCTCGGCCTCCTGCAGCCACAGGTTCCCTTCCCTGCGCGGGGGCTCGTGCTGGGCTGGGGCCGATGCTCCCGTCTGCGCCCAGACAGGCGTTTCTCTTCCCTCGGCTCCTCTCAGCCGCCCGCCCGCTACTTCCTCACCCCTCCGAGTGAAACGCGAACAAGGCAGTACAGCAGCAAATTACAATAATGACTTGTAAAAGCAATTACCGCCTATCGTACTGCAGCCACGCTGGAGGGACTGTGCCAGGGCCTGGCTGCTCCGTGTCCCGGCCAGGGAATCGCCCCCGCGGCAGCTCCGTCACGGATCGCAGCCTTGCAAACCGCGATGGCGCGTTCCCAGAGCGTTGTAGGGGGACAGCGACCAAAGGAAATTCAGCCTGCCTTTGCGGAAACTGTTTATTTCCCCTGGAAACATTTAAATATGACCAAATTCGCCCACATTACATCGTATCCGCTTTCCATGTAAACCAGATAAAACCACCTACTGGGTGCAGGGCCGGGCGCTGTAGGAAGGGTTTCCCAGCTAGCCTGAGCGCTCTGGCAGAGCGGGAGCACCCACTACACTGTGACCTAGAGGAAATCTTGCTGAAAATCAGCGTAAACCCTCATTCATACATCACTCAGCCTGTTTTGGAGATGTTACCGCACACAGCTCCTGGCTGAGCTGAGGGCTGGGAGCACCACAGGCACTGATGCACCACAGCTGAGGGAAATTGTGCTTAACGTCATTAAGAGAATCACAGCTAATTATGCAGGACCTGGAGTTTAATTCTGACTAGCATGTGTGACGCAGACAGGGTTTGCCCTGAGCATGGCCCGATCCTTTGCAGCAGCTCATGGTGACAGCGGTGGCTCACAGAGGGGACGTGGCAGGGACTGCTCCCCGGCGCTGGAGGATGCTCTGGAGCCTCTTGTTAATAGAAAGTGGCTCGTGACCACTAAAACACTCCCTGGGGGGGCACGGCGGGGTTTGCTCGGTTATGGAGTGAGAGGCAAAATCCTCTCTTGAGGACTGTGGACCTGCTCAGCACGGGGGGAGCTCCTGGTGATGATTGCAGCTGGGAAGGGAATGGCAGCCTGCAGAAAGAGACAGCCCCACAGAGCAGCCCGGCCACAAGTGCCCCCCCGCAGCAAGGCGGGGGCTGGAGGGGGGCAGAGGCTGCCCGCCGCCTCGAGAGAAGGGGTGGGCAAGGCAGAGCCCGTCCTTCACCTTCCCGTAAGCGCGTGCCTCGGCTCCCAGGTGCGGGGATGTGCAATTCCCTTCCACCTCACCAGTGCCACGCTGTTTTTCATCTCACAAAGAATGTGTTTGCTATACAAGAGCCCACCCCTGCCGCACAGAGAGAAGCCAGTCCCTGCATGGCAGGGCATGTTCCTGCTCAAAGTATTTTATCTCAGCCCCACAACATCGCGCCTGATGCCAAAAAAATACCACCGTGCAGAGTATTTGTGAGGATGTTAAAGCTTGTCCTGAGCCATCCCAGTACAGGTGTGCAGAGGCTAGCGAGGCTGCTGTGCCGTGAGCCGCCTGCTCGGCTCTCCCAGGGCCAGGGGGGGCTCTGAGCCAGGCTCTGCTGTGGTATTGGGGGTGATACAGGTACTTCCCATTCCTGCTGCCCTTTCTGCAGGAGCGGGGCTGCACGGGCTCCCATCACCCCAGGAACTGCTAGAGAGGCAAACGAGAGAAACCATTTTCAGGTGGTATTACTAGGGAGGTTCAGAGAAGATATAAAGGGGAGAAGCTTCAGCTGGGGTAAACTGCAGCAGCTCTCGCGTTGCAAGGGTGGGCTGGGTGGCTGGCAGTGGGTCCCAGCTCCCAGGGGGGTGAGCTGGTGGGGATGTATCCCGGGGTCAGAGCTTGCTCGGTGCTGGAGAGAGCAGGAAGATGCTGTGGTCATCAGAGGGTGCGACATCTGGCAGAAGAATTAATCTTCAGTGTCAGAGGCACGTGGACTTGTCCAGAGAAAGAGGGCTCTTAGAAACACCAGCTTGCACTGAAATCCCCAAATTTTGCACTGATACCTGATGATGCTGACCGGACCCTGACCCCACGGCCAGGTCAGCTTCCCGGGTGTGATCCTGCCTCTCCAGCAAGGACTGTGCCTCTCCTGGAAGCGCGGGCTCGGCGCTGGCGGCAGTTGCTCCCCTCTGCCCGGCTGGAAGAGGAAGCTCTCGTGCAGCCGTGGCCCATGTAACCTGCTCACCCGCGGTGCAGCAGGGGTTTAACCCCCTCGTTTTGAGGCGACACCATGGCAAAACAAGGGTTATTGGGAGGGGGGCTCTTCCTTGCCAGGTGTTAAAATACTGACAACTCCTGTCAAAGGATCCTTTCATGTAGACATTCCCGGGCAGTCCTCAACATGCCTGGGAAATATAACTGCTCTGGAAGAGCAGAGGTGCATTATGGCAAGTTCTTTGGTAACAAATTCTCTCATTATACCATGTTATGACATGGATAAATCTCTGTTAAATAGCAGAGTGATTGCCCCGCAGGGAGAAAGGCTGCCGCTCAACACAGGCATGCCTCCACTGATAACCTTATCATGTCTTAACAGCTCCAGGATTGCCTTCAAAGATCCTTCCACAATAACAAACTATTCTTTTAAGGAACTCCGTGTTGATAGTTCTGGGCAAGAAAAGTCAGGGCTGTGCCCTGTGCGGCCGTGCTCCGGCTCCTCGCGGCAGGCAGCCGTCCTGCAGCCGCATCCCCATTCACTGCCATAACAAGCATCATTTTTTTTAGGATCCCAGGAGGCTCTACATCCCCAGCCGTGTTTTCAGCCAGGAAGAGCCCTCGACAATGTACACTCTCCATAGGGGACAGCAAAATGCGCGTCTTGCTCAGATGCCAAGCAGAATAGGTGCCTCTGCTCCTATGTGGTTATCTGTATTCGCTAATAATCTGCCACACGTGCGTGTCTGTGCAGGGCTGTGCTACATCATCTGATTTAGTGGTACTTTACAAGCCGCAGCTGAAGTGCACGCACCTGGCTTGCAGAGAGCACAGAGGCACCGCGCTTCCCTCGAGTGCAAGACAAGGCAGTTGCAAAGTGGGACCCGGGGGATCAAACTGCTGGTGTTTAATCACATAAGCCAGCACAGCCGACTCGCTGCTCGGCACTCTTGGCGTGGCCGTGTTTCTGCCACCTCTACGAGGGGTGAACCTCGGGCTGTTCACTCGTACCCTTCCTGTTCCGCAGCGTTTGGACCAGCTGAGCTCTCGGAACCGGCCACACGTGGCCCCTGGGTCACACAACACTCATGTCGCTCTGCCCGTCCAGACCTCAGCCCCAAGATTTCTTTCACACCTACAGAAGAGCTCGGGTACGTTCTGCCCCTGGGCACCTCCTGCCTTTATTTTCAGTTCCTACTCTACCCTCTGGACCGTTAGTGTCTGCCTCCCCGGTTATGTTACTATGGCCATCTCTGTTCACAGAAAAAGTCAGAGCGCGTCTGTTATTGCACGTTTGTAGAGCACAACAGGTTCATGTGTCAGTGTGGCTTGTGGGCGCTGGTACAGTATAAACAGCAAACAGCAGTAATAGCACTGAGCAATCCACCTGAACTTTACATAAACTTGCACAGCATCTATTCCTCTGGGTTTTTTCTGTAGTCGTGCAGCTTTCAATGTCAACCCTCCTCTGCCAGGCTGAAAGTATAATGCCACCTCCATCGCTGTCCCTTCTCTGTTACTGTGATCTGTCCTGCAGTGCAAGTCCAGAGCACTAGGAATAACTGGAAAAGCCAAATTATTTAAACACTAGCAGAATATCAACATTAACCTCTGTTTCTCTAGGGACTTGGTACCCCTAATTGTCTTTAGGTGGGGTTTCTTTCACTGCCGCGTTGAAATGCAGCTGCTTCTTGGGTGAGACGGAGACCACGCTGCGCCCGTGCCGCACGTAATGGGAAATAAGCACAGCACAGCGACAGCCCCGCGGTGCGACCGGCCCCGGCGGGGCTTCACCAGGGTTATCTTGGTCCAAGGAAACGGTTTGCGCATCACGAGATCCAAACGAGCCCACGCCCCACAGCGCTTCATGGCGACTGATACGGCTGCAGCTGCAAAGCAGCACGGAAATGAAGCCTCAGCATCTGCCGCTGTCCACCCCGAGCAAATGCCCAGGACCGGCTCTGGAAGAGGCCACCGCGCTGCTCAGGCCCGCAGGAAGCCTAGGCAGGGAGAGGTGGGTTTCCCCATGGATGCTGACAGCCTCGCACGAAAAATAACCTGACTCTTCTGTGTGGAAAGACCTACCGGCGAAGTCCATCTCCCCCCGGCCCTCCCTGGGCAGCAGAACCGCTAGCAGGATGTGTCCCAACAGATTCGGAGCTGATAAAATCTTATTTATCTTCAACTGTTGACACCGAAGCGTCTAGACTTGCCTGCTTCGGGAGGGCTGCAGCCAAGTCCTCCTTTCTCTCCTGAAGGAAATGATTTGCTCAACAATTACTTTTTCCACAAATCCTCCCCCTCCTCCCTACCAGCCTCCTCCTCCTCCTCCTCTTCTACATTCCAGTCTCCTCATTAGCTCTACTCAAGACGTGTCCAGGACTGCAGTCAATGGATCCCAATAAAGCCACTAGCCTGGCAAGAGAGAGAGAAGAAAAGTGCTGCCTCCGGCTGCTAATTTCCTTGCGCTCCCCAGCAAGCAGCTGCAGAGCTGCATCCTGGGACAGGTTCGGACAGATCGCAGCGGAGAGGTGATAATAATGTGTCTGTCATCTTACTCAGACATGTAGCATCTTGCAAACCGCAAATACCGTTAACCGGCTCGGACGAATCTGTTACGACAGATCCTGGAAGACATGCCGACTACAGAGCTAATTTTTTCTTTCTAATTTTTTTAATAACCATTTTTTAATCACCAGCCTATATAACTTCTCACTGAGCTGGAAATTCCTCCCAAACCTAATTTGTTGCTCGT